CTTTTTGGATCTTTTTGTTTTTTTTTGGTCATAAATTCATGGTTCAAATTAAAAATCTGGCTGGATGTTTCGAAGGAAGGTGTTGGTTTTCCAGGCCAGTTATGTGGCGATCCTGCCCAATGTGGCACTGGGTGAGATCGAGGCAGGGCCTGCTGAGTCTGTAGCATGTGGAGGTTTCCTAATATGGGGGTACCCTGGTTTGTAATGGAAAATCCTATTCAAATGAATGATGAAAATGGTGTACCCCCATTTTAGCATTTTGAAACACTGCTAGTCATTGATGCTTCACACTCTTGACCTTTTCGAATCTCTGCAAGTTTGGAGAGGGCCCCGAGTTGAGGTACTCCTTTGTGACATCCTCGCAGACCTTTGTGACGTGCATGGTCAACATGTCGTCCCTCACCTTTGGCGATTGCCCGGGCCACAGGATATTTGCCAGGGCCTTTGGACATGGGAGAATCACATGACATATATTCAAAGATCATTATCATTCTCTGTCATGAGTCATTATCATCAATCAAATATCTGAAATGCTGAGACTTTTATCTGAGATATTTGGATTCCAAAAATTGGATGATGGGACATTTTGCAGGAACCCCCCTATTGTTTCATGGTAAATCCCATGGTTTCCTTCAGATTTTAAACCTTAAACCAATGATCAAAGGTCACGAAACCAGCTGAGATAGACTGAAAGAGATTTAATCATATTCAATCCATCGGAACCTAAGTATGGTCGGTTTTTTCCTTCCAAAAAAAAATCGGAGTAAATCTCATCCCAAAATAGATCCACTCATAGCATCATCACGACAAGTGCCGAAGTGCCCATTGGTTGCGCAGGTTTCGCGCGTATTTGGAAGATCCAACGAATTGGTATTCCTGCCTTCTGGCCTTGGCGCTCCTCACTAGGATCTCGTCGGATGCCAAGCCGAGATCAACCTGGTGACTGCTGGTTGATGGTGAATTTATGGAACTTTTATGGAACTTTTGTGGAACTTTTATGGTGAATTTATGGAACTTTTATGGAACTTTTATGGATGTTGATGGTGAAGAAGAAAATTGGCAAAAATACCTGAAATTATAGAAATCCTAGAGATACCTGGTTGAGGACTATGATCTAAATCCGATATATACAATTATATACATATATAATCATATATATATATAGCTTATATATACACAAATAAATAGTACCACATACATAGAGATGACAACCAATATCAAAAAACAAGCGTTTAGTGAACTGGACACTGGCCTGAGGTCTGAGCTGAGTGGTCGACTCCTTCATACTGCTCGATGGCTCAGAGGGCCCCTTTTTTGTTTTGACCCTTTTTGCTCTGTGTGGCTTTTCCAGAGACCGTGGAGTGGCAATGCACGTTGGAAACACCAGGGCAAGAAATATCAAGAAATCCACATAAATCCTCTAGCACTCGAGGATGCAGCACTTTGTGTCTTCGATGTGTTGAAGGAGGTCCAAATGCAGTTGACGCCCGGGGGCCCTGGTCACGTCTCGAGATCCCGACCATTTTGAGTCGAATGCGTAGCATCAGAATTCACATGCAAGTGCAGGTATGGACACAGTCCGTGCTCTCTCTTCCAACCTGTTGTTTGGAATCCATCTAAAATGGTAGGAATCTCCATCTTTTTAGATGGTAAAATCCTACCATTTCCAACTGTTGCTTTGTTTTAAAGATGGATGGATTTTACAAAATCCTGGGATCCAAACTATTAGAGGATTTGACCATCTAAAAATCCTACATGGAATAAAATCCAAATTTGTACTTTGTAAGTAAAAAGCCAATATTAAAATCTTGGGATTTCAATTTTATTGGGTTTCAATATGGTTTCTGATGGTTTGTGTCAGGCGACAACGCGAGGAAGTGCTGGCGGCTACTGGTCGGATGTCGGGGCCTTTGTGGCGAGATAGAAAGAGTGGATGGATATATATGCATATGTAAATAGATCGAATTGATTTTATACATGTTACTTACATACGTATATTAAGTTATATATATATACACAGACACACCCGCTTGTGCACTCTTCCATCGGCGGCCTTGAAGGACTCGTCTTCATTTGCCACAAGTCCCGCACTCCTGGCCAGTATTTTCTGGGGGATGAGACCATGTTTTCTGAGCTGAGACTGAAAAGAGTTGAAACAGCCCCAAAATAGCTGGTAAATGGATGTTCATCCCACTAAAAATGGTATTAATAGGTATTGATCCATACCCAAGTAACTGAAAAGAGCTGAAACAGTTTTTTTTCAAAATCACATACGTAGCCTACGCTGAATTCAAAAACTTATTGAACTGACCAGGCAGCCAGTCGCGACTCCATCGACGGCATCACGAAACCTGGGCATGGTGTGCAGCTGAGAGAGTTCTCTCAAGCGATTAGTACTGCTTAAGATATTGGTGACCGACTTTTTTCAATCCACACAACTTTGATTTTGGAAGCGAGTTTCTGCTAATGTTTGTTTCAAAGACGTCATAGTCGTTGTCTACTCCCAACTGCCCAAGTCGTGGCGAAATCCCAAAAATCTTGAAATTAGCTTGGGGGAAGGCTTTTGTGGAAGTCGTGGCGATGCGGCGTTTAGCTTGTGTTTAGGGTAGGTTGCTGTTTTACTATCTCATGTAGACCTAAAGTGGCGAAGCGGCGTTTAGGTTGTGTTTGGGATAGGGCGTTGTTTTACTATTAGCATAGTGCTTTAATCTTGCTAGTTGCGTTCTCATTGTGTTTGGGATGGTTGCTGTTGGGTTCTGCAGCCACCGGGGTCTTGCTGTTGCTGCGGCTGCTGGTTCGACGGCTGCTGCTGTTGCTGTTTCCGGGTACTTCTACACAACGCTGGGATTATCATCTCTACACTGCCATGGCGGTGTGCTGGGATTCTGCAAATTGTCATTGTTTCGCTACCAGTGATCCAAGGAAGGGCAGGTTTGCGGCTTGCGGGCCAAAGTCCATGTGTGTAGATGCGGGGCTTTTTCCGTACCTCGTTTTGACCTCGTTTTGGACCTCGTTTTGGACCTCGTTTTTTTCCTTTATCAGAACCCATCCTGCAGTATACAAACTAGGAAAAGGGCCTGCTTCGCATTTTTGTTTGTGGGCGTCAACAGTGCCCACGAAAAAAGGCCCGTTGGAAACCGGCGTTCCGATGGGATTCGATCAAAAACGAATAGAACCATGATAGTTTGGTCAAGGCTTGTTAAAGCTAGTTCCAATGGGGAAAGGGGTTTTGCAAGGTCTGTGCCGGGACAGGGGTCGTGGCGAGCGTTTTGATTGGGAATAGCTGTCAAACGCAAACATTGCAAGGACTTTGGCGTATGGGTGTATTGCTTTTAATGGTGAATCGATGAACCGCATCGATTTCCCCTTCCAGGACTGGACTCCACCCTCCTGGTCTCCAGTGGAGGAGCCCAAAGTTGATGAGCAACTTGGAGCAGTGCGCCACACCATGAACCATGGTACACACACACATATATATATATATATATTGTAGTGATCAGTGATCTCTGAGACATGATCTCTTGGAATCACCTTGTACAGTAGGTTTCTATTTATTCCCGTCAATTGAAACACATATTCTTGGCCACTGATACCATGATTTCAAGTATGTCCTGGTAGATCTTCTAAGAGGTGCAGTTCCAGTTGTATGATAGATATACGTGCATATATAAAACCATAGTTATGGGATGTTATATCAATTATATCCCAACTTATGTTTTTTGTTCACTCACCATGCTCTCATTGTGACTTCAAGTGCACCAAGTTGGGAGCTGCTGAGGTCTCTTGGGGAGGATCACCCACTCTCCGTCCCATCAGAGATGCCACACTGCTCGAGTGCTTCGGATGAACGTCGGGAAACACAGGGTATCAGATACAAATTACGAAAAGTGATAGTAACAATGATGTGGAAACTTATCAGCAAGAATGTGGATACATCCCAACATTTTTCTATACTGTATATATATATATATATATCTATGATATACATTGATAAGATTAACATAAATAAACTGAGCATGGTCTTGGGATTCTATCCCATGGACGTGCTGAGGTGAGCCACCTGAGACTGGATCAGGTGCAAGTCCAACCTCTAGTGTACCTCCATCCTTGTCCATTGATGTCATGGGTCCGAAGCCGAATGGCAGGGTACGGTTGGTACAGCTATATGGATGATAGATGGAGACAATAGATGATAGTAGTGATGGATAGATTATGATGATCACAGATGATGATAGATGATGCGCATGCCAAACTTGGAGAAACTGGGTATTTCCAAAAGAGATAATTTGCCAAACTCAAGAGATGAAACGTCGAGAGATGGATTTTGGTGACCGCCAATTCCGATGTGTAGAAGGCTCCCAATGATTTTTGGATGTCGTTGTTTGTAATGCAGACATGTATCTAGGTGCAACCATGAACCATTATGGTGTGTTTCTTCTACATCCTACTCTCTGACAAGTTTATTTGATCCTATTTGCTACGTTCTATTCGGATCTTAGATTGCTCATGCTGAGTCGCACCCTTTTTGATCGTTGTGTTGCATTTCCATTGTGTATCTTTATTTGAGAATCTCAGTAAGTACTAGAACATTATATGATTGTCGATAGAACGTTAGTTTTTCATATCACTTTATTTGTCTTATATGTAAATATGTCAATATATATATATATATGTATATAAATGTATATTCAATGACCAAGATTTGGTTTCTTTCAATCTCCAATTTTTAGACCCAAATGACATCCTACCAAGACCTGGCGGCTCCCCTGCGGTGGCCGATGCAAGCCATAAAAGGAGCCGTGTCAAAAAGGTCACGCCATCGCCATGTATCTGTTACAATAATGTGCACAGATGAGATGTGGATATGCACACGCACACACACATGTATGTATATATATATATGTAATGATATTATATATAATACATTGTAAATGTAGTAGCTACACATTAAAAAATCCATCTTTTCAGTGATAAGTTTCTGTGTTGCAGTTGGTAAACATCTCTCGGCAGGATCTCTGGGGCTGGGTCGGCCCTCGGTACCCCCGTTGAACCTCGATGCCGCCAAGTTGGTGGCGGGAGATCCTCGCGATGCTCCCAGCACCACACAGAGATTGAAGACACTCTCGAGTTCCAGATTGTCACGGAGGCTAAAGATGGAGGCTCGGAAGCTCCGATGGAAATTTTCATAACTCCAATGGTCCAATGGCAGATGGATGCAAGTGGGATGTTGGATTGTTGGATTGAGATTTTCCAGGGCCACTAGCTGAGAGTTGATGGCTTGAAAATTTCATCCTGCGTTTCAATGGCGGAGGCTCAGCGAACGCCAGCTCCAAACCATTGTTTTTTCTCCTGTACAACTGCGAGCCGTACACCCAGCATGTCAGCACAAAAATCTGTGGCATCTGTGGTTTGGTGCATGATTTTTTTGGTGCATCAACATGGGGGATTCACCCAAATTTCATTTTAACCATGGGGTGAAATCCTCGATTTTCTGGAATTAGGCCAAGCCACATGATATATCATGATATCATGATCCCAATGATCATGGGCCCATGGGTTCTCATTACCTTTTTTTTTGCGGTAAATAACAATATTTGGACAAACAAACACACTTATTAATATTATTATTGGTTATATAAAGTATATACCCTTATATCCCACATATCATAAGATGTCCCATTTTTGTTAATCAGTTTCCGGAGAACTTCCCGAGGCAACAATTTCGGTGATGTTTTTATGGAGAGTGGCCGCTTCACGGTGACCCCCTTTGTGGGACTGCAGAGACTTGGGCTTTGATTTGGCTGGAGCGGCTGGAGCAAGTTTGAATTGGCAATTTGGCTTTGATGTGGCTTGGATTTCGAATATATATATATACATACACGTATATATATATATTATATATATACACACATATATATATATAATATACACATTTACATATTCAACTTTGCTTTGGGTTAACTGTATCTCAACAAAGAAAAATGTGTCCAAAACAGTGGCCGGTCTTGTGAGGAACCCTTTGTTGGCGAGGAAACCAAATTTCGGAGGCCCGAAGGCTCCTGGGCAGCAGAGTGAGTCAGTGCAGGTTGAGTTATATACAAATGGGTTTTAACAATGATCACGACCAGCATGAGTTGGGACATAACCCTTCTCAATGTGGCCATGCTTTGTATATATATATATATATGTAACTATATATATATATATATAAATGTATATACATACACACATGTCACTTACTTCGTGGAACGGCACCTGCTATCCATTGGTCCATAGTTCAGGTTCAAGCAGGCGATGACCTTGCGAAGATGCTCGGGGAAGCTGCACTGCTGGCGGATTTGGGGCCGCTGCTGCGGATGAAGCAGGTCCGGGTCCTCCCTGTTGGCGAAGCCGCGGTCGTGGGGTTATTGGGGATTATCCTGATATACAATGATAATATATATATATATGACAGTATATACATATATGTATAGGTAGAGGTATATGTATATTATTATTAATAATATATATATATATATATACGCACTACGTATATGATAAAGAATTGATTGGTGAATTTGCTATATGGATCTTTAGAATCCCTTTTTAACCTAAAAATATGGGGAATTTCAATGAAGGTTCAAGGGCTGTTGCTCGACTGTCTTCCGTTTTCATGTTCCCTGCAGGAGAAGGCTGTGCAAGAAGCAGTGGAAAAACGAAGTGTGAGACACTTGACTGCAACACCACACTGACAACAAGGTTGGGTGGCAGAGTTCAGTTGGCTGGACCGCACCAAGAGACTACATCATATATGATCAAAAACATGTCTAAATGGTCTATTAATTGGACTATAGATGTCTATATACTGACTATAGCACAGATTCCATAGAGATTCCATAGAGATTCCATAGAGACTCTATACTCACATCCCATACAATGTGGGGCCCCCCAGTGATGTCAGTTGGTTTATAAACCCCATGAATACTATAGTTATAAGTACAATAAACCATAGTTATTGGAGTTATTTGCACCAACTTAGCTATCTATTGCTATTGTCTATAGTTAATCCCATGAAATTATAATCCCCATTAACTATAGTTATATCTACCATTGTCTACCATAAACCATTGTAGGTTCATAGCACTGCTCACGTATCCGAGGCAGCAACGGCACCAGCGGCTCGGAGGCGCAGCAAACCACCGCCTCCTTGGCCAATCGCATCGCTTCACAGGATCCCGTTGGATTCCGGTTGGAGAAGGTCATTAATGTCATACCCAAGAAATGGATGAAATGGATGAGAACTATCCCAGTAAACAGCTATATATATACATATATACATATATATATATATATGGTACCCTATACAGTATATATATATACATATATATATACATATATATATATACATATGTATATCCTAATGATCCAATCATTAGAATGGATGTGATCCAATGATTAGAATGGATGAGGAAAGGAAACCCGGCTCTCGGCTCTCCGTTTTTTTTTAATCGTAATTATTGGCAAAGGTTCCGGTTGTTTTGGATGAGTTGTTAAATGATTTCGTTTGGTTTTTGATAATGATGGTGAACATGCACTGGTACGTCATCAACATCCTTTGAGCCTTCCGGATGGACATCCTCCAGGTAGAAATCCATAAACTCCAGCAGTTTTCACATTGGGCCAGGAGAGCTTGCTGTCTGCATTTTCAGGGACCCCTCGAGATGCACAGGCGCGTTGCTACTCTAGAGGGGATCGGTCTAGAATTCTATGGCCGACACATAGAAGATTCAGAACTCACGTAAGCATGATTTAACATGATTTAATGATAACTTCATAAATTCTGATCTGCAGGCGCTTCAAAATCCATGATCTCCGAACTCTCCGAAGTCTTCGAACTCTTCAGCTGTCAGGTGACAGCGCGCCGACCCGCACCCTACCGGCGGATTCGTTTGCACGCCTGTTTGGTGCTGGAGGGCCTTTGCCAATGCATACCTTCTGGCAGTGCTGCCTTCTTTGAGGCGTTGCCGGGGATGCCGGGGATTGGGGTTGCTATGGGTTGCTGCTGATTCCCACTCAATTTGTTGATGGTTTCCCATTGGTTTCCCATTGGTTTCCCATTGCTTAAATGATGCGAAATGCTTCCCAGCTATCCCCAGCTATCCCCAGCTGAGGTGCCGGTGAGCGAAATCTTTGAGATGCTGCAGTCCTCCTGCTCCAGGGCTGGGGCCTGTTCTTTCAGCTTGGATGATCAACCTGTCCAGCTGCCAATTCAGGCGCTGTCATGGCGCCTTGGATGGTTCGGATGGTTCAGCTGTGGTTTGTCAAGGAGATGTCATAGATGATATGATTTTTCTCCAAAGCCACCTAAATCAATGTATATATATATATTTATATGTATATATATATACACATATATATTTATCATTTATATCCAAGGAAAATCTGGACATAACCTGCTTCCCTTCCAAAAGCTGAGTCGCCGTAGGCTCCCAGCGTGGTTGACCTTCTACCAGTGGCGCGGCTCGAGAGGTTGCAGCGGCTGGCGGGAAGGCTTTGCGTCAGTGCTGGGCTCAGACCGAGTGTGGAGCGACCCATTGGAAACTTGATATTTCCATAATTTTTCCACATGTTGTTTCTTTAACACTAGAGTCACTAGACATATATATATATATACATACTGTATATGTATATGGGATCATATGGGATCTGAATGGACATTTTTATACCAATAGCTGGGAAGTCGATGATATCCCAAAGAATATTCTGCATCACCGTTCTGAAAGGTTCACGCTGTGTGTGCGGTGCTGACAACGGCCGCGACAATGATGCCTGCAGTCCTTGTGGCTCGGTTGGGCTCGGTGACATCTCACATGGTTGCAGTGTTCAAAACCCCGGTTGGTTGATGATCTTATATATGATGATTATCAAATTATGATTGTTATGATACTAATATGATGATTATATATGATGATCATCATTGATAATCCCAAATATATGATAATTATAGGAGATCAATTATGATGATACTAATACATATATTTGGGATTATCAATGATGATAGGGGATTGTACTATCCGATATATAGGGGTTTATTTGATTATCGCACTCCAATAGGGGAATCCTCTTCTCCATCCTGTGCTCGCTGCAAAGTGCTCAGGCACCTGCTTGGACGATCCGACTGCCTCGTGTTTGTGGCAATTGCTAGCTGAGCATGGCAGACAGGTGCGACCCTGAACAAATATAAATATATTTCAAATAGCTGTGTGAACAGACCAGACAGGGATTCTGTGTCGACTTTTGCTGTTTCGCAATGTTTGGCCCATCTTGAAAAACTGGTGGGTGGTTAGGCATACTTCCATTTTTTGCCATGAACATCTCAGATTTTTCAGGTGTGTGGCTCAACCACCAACAGCAGAAAGGGGCCATGGGCCATGTCTTATTTACATCCATTGAACTCAATTTGGATCATCCCAGCTCTTCCAGCCCCCTGATACCAATCCACTGGGTGTCTTTTTTTGGCCATTGTTTTCAACCGGAAAAATGATGAGATCAACCATAAACCATGGGAATCCATGGGAATGTGGGGGTCATTTTCAGACAACCCCCATATGCATATCTTTTGTGGCGGCTCGCAAGTGACAATAACTGACAGCCCGACAGGTTGATATCAAGGTGGCTAAAGCTGCGCCCACGTTGGGTGCCCAGTGCACCCGCGTCGGCGACGCGTTGCCGCGGTCAACGGGGTCATGGCAACGCACTGAGGCCTCCCAGCTGTCGGATGGTCGTAGCCCAAATCAGAAACGGAATTGTGCAGCATGAGAAAGCAACAGAATACATATACCAAGTTATATATATATATTAATATACCAAGTGATTGAGGATTATTGACGAATCTCTCTCTCTATATACAGTATTACATATATATATATAAATACATACACGTGACATGTAATATGCATCTATATCCATGGATCTACACCACATACACACACACATGGAGGTTTCCATAAATGGGGGTACCCCTAAATCATCCATTTTGATAGGATTTTCGATTATAAACCAACCATTTTGGGGAAATCCCATTGTAAGCCAAGCATTTTGGGGATCCCCCCCATTTGTGGAACCCCCTATATTTATATTAAGGATACACGGGTTGCATCAGTGGATGAGTTTCCGATCCAAGGAAGAAGTCCAGGAAGTCAACTTTGATGATCCTGCCGAGCGATCGGCACCCAGTGGGGATGATAGATGAGTTTTTGCTCCAGTGATAAAGATCATATATCTATCTATATCTACATCTGTATCTCTATCTGTATCTATTTCTGTATTTATATGTATAATATATGTATATATATATATATAACAATGTATGATATATATATATATATGATAGTGATAATATAGGAATTCCATTCCTGTTTGTCGAATGTATCAGCCAACAAGAAGACAGAGGCTTGCACGTCCCCTTTCTGATAGCTCCTCTGTTGCTCAGGTCATTTCCCACCGCACGGTTTCGGCAAGTGGCAGTGGCACCAGAGGCACGCGAATAAACCGGAGATAGAGATAGGAGATTCACAGGCGCATGGTATTTTCTTTGATAAATAACATGTGTTTTATTGCATACCCAATTCGCCTTGGATACCAACTTTTTTTTTGACAGTTATTGTTCTTCCAATATGGTACGGTTCCACCATGCTCGAGAGCTGACATGAAAGCCTTGTCGAGGCTTGGTATGGACAGCTTCCTCAAGATGCTGGCCACATCTTTGACCCAGACTCTCTCACAACTGAAGGCTGGCATTTGGATGAATTCAGTGAAGGATTGCATGTGGTGGATGAATTCTTCAAAATCGCGATGTGTACTTCATGTAACTTCTGGCAACTTCACTAGTCATTTGGATCCTAAATTCATGAAATCATCATTGGGTCAATACCTATAGATACATTTTTAGTGGGTTATTCACATCCATAAATCCCAGCTATGACTTGGGGTTCACTAGGGGTACCAGGGTTTTGACCCATCCCCAAATCAGTTTGATCTTTGAGGGTGCTCAACGAGCCGGCACCGCTGGGCCAGATGTGATCATGCCCGGGGCCCCACTGATTTTTGGGACATCTTGGGGCCCACCGGGGAAGCGATTGCACAGTTACCTCCAGGTACCTCCAGGTTTCCAGAAATGCTATGAATCAGATCAGGAATGCATAGGTTTGTCTGAAACTGGTTGCTATGCCAAAATCCAGTGGTTTTTTTTAAATCATCCTTTTGACCCTGCAAATGAATGGCTATTTGGGGGTGTATACACAATTTTCAGCCACACCCGTATGAACATGTTGAGTGTCTTCTTAGATATCAACGGTTTTTCCATGTTTTTCCAGTTTACAAGCATCTTCCAACAATTCTGTTTCAACAGAAAGCCAACCACAACCACAGATGAAAGCCCCCCCAGCTACAAGTTGCTTTAGTTTCCCCAAAGATATCTCCATCATAAATCCAGCCAACTTAGTCTAGTGATATTTATTCCATTGTTTATATCACTTACTGGTGCTTAGCAGGGAATGAGGGAATGATCCATAATCACTAGTAATAATCATCCCATTCCCCCATTCCCATCCATTTCCTAAGCACCAGTAAGATCATTGTTTACCAACTTACCTACAGCTCTCCTTCAAAAGGTCCTGGCGCTTCAGGTCTCTCCAGCACCGGTTGAGTGCCACGTTGCGCCTGACGGCGCGGTACCTGCGGACGTCGACGCCGTCGCCACGGCTGGTCCTGGCGCATCGGGTGTTGTCGACGCCGCTGGCGGCGCTGAAGACCTACCTGGCCAGCGGCATGGCGGAGCTGGACCGTGGCGAACGTGGCGGAACCAATGCAGGTGCCACAAGGGCCGTTGTTTGTTTTGCGGAAGCGACACTCTTTGATGGTTCTTTGTTTTTTAGACGTTTTTAGGTTGTAATGAAGTTTAAACAAGTTAAAGAAATTGTGAAGTATGGTAAACTGAGGCATAACAAAATGATCAAGTATGGGACATATGACATAGGGGCTTTTATAACTTATAACCCATTTGAATCCATTTTAGCCAACAGCAAAGGGGAATTTTTCCCAAGAAATATGGAGATACTACCAGAAAACGGGGAAGAGCACATGAGCAATGCCCCAGTTAACCATCGGGGTGGTTGATTGGGAAGGGACGGGAGGCAAGCCACAAAGCCACGCTGCCCAACGCTTGTGGGTAACGTATCTGGAGCACCTCGGCTGCTTTGGTGCTGAAGTTTCGAGCTTGATCTTAGCGTTTTAGGGTCAATACAGAGGTATATTTTGGAAACTCAGTCATGGTTTGCGCAGTGAGGCAGAGATATAGGACCATAGGAGCTGCTGGCAGATAGCGCTGTCGTTGGTCATTGGTTCCAATGACTTACCCAAAGTGCACCAGTTGCGAATTCATTTTCTATGGGAAATCATCTAGTGATAAAAAAGATATCCTCTGGTAAACGTTTACATAACTATGGAAAATCACCATTTTTAATCGGAAAATCCACTATAAACTGCCATTTTCAATAGCTATGTTAAATTACCAGAGGGTATGACAAGGCAGCATCATTTTCCTAAAGCTATCCCCTCCCTTCCGAAGGTGGCCCGGTTGCTGAGGCTGGTGGGGATCATGCTGCTGGGTGTGAGATCTTCCGGTGGAGTGCAAGGGCAGCTGGGTCATTTGCTGCTGGTGCTGCTATTGGACTTCCCGGTGCCCTTGCACCGCAAGGGTCCACCACTGCTTGGGGCCAAAGTGGGATGGGAAGATGGTGATGATCTATGATGATTTGTGATGATCTGTGATCTGTGATCCCACTGATCCCACATTTAAAAATCATCATTTTGCCATGTTGAAACCCTCATAGATCTGATGATCTGGCAGCTAAGGTCCAGTCGTCCGGCCAACTCCCTGCAGTTCAAGGGATTGCCAAGTACACCGATGTCCACTGAGCCGGACGCCAACGCCTCAGTGCTGACCAAACTGACGCCGTGGTGAGTGGGGTCCTGGTGAAAGGTGGTATCAAAAAGTTATGTAAAAGAGGAACACGGATATAATATAAATATATACTGTAATATATACATATATATATACCCATTTATCCAGGTCCCCAAATTGGGATTGTGCTTCTTGTGGTCTTAGATTTTCGATCCCAACACGTTGCAAGGCGCCCACAGCATCCCTTCCTTCGCTGCCAAGCGGTTTCTTGGCGCTGTGCTCCGCACCTTTGCGCCGGGCCCTCTGAGCAGAATGAAACACTGATGGCTACGCCTTGGGGCTGTGCTGGATGAATTTTCAAATCATCATATTTATGACATTTTATGAATATATACTATCCCATTTGGAAACACTTATTATAATATATCCAATAATTATCCATATTGGGAATATACATATTATCCATATTGGATAATATTATATGCTGCATCCAGGTCCCCATAATCCCATCCCCTAATACAAAACACTTCTGAAACATCGATGAATTCCACCCGAGGCCCTTCACCAAGGATGCCTCCCATGGCTTCTCTAAAGGCAAGGGTCGTTGCAGGTTGTGTGCCATTCACAAGCTTCTGGTGGCTGAAGAGATAATCTATGGACTTTATGCTGTGTCCATATGTAGATATATCTTTTCATACATACATATATATATAATATATATACATATATACACACACATATATATATACATACACATATTCTCCAATCATATTTGGGCATATTTCACTAAAGAAAAACGTTTCGCCATGTTTTTCTTGTTATCTGGGATGATCCCATTGTTTTGCCGGCGGTTCGGCTCGGAGGTCTCAAGCCTTTGGGACTGCCTTCCCAAGATCTTCGAACGAGTGCTGAAGCAAAAAAGTGATCTAGGCATGGCTGGAATGGCTGGAATGGCTGGAATGGCTGAAAGATGGCCAGCTTGTTGATTGGCATGGGGCCAATGGGGCCACAGGATATGGCTAAGAATAAAGACGCTGACCATGCTGACCGGAAGGGAACTAAGTTGAACTAAGGCAACTAAGGGAACTAAGAGCAGTTTTTGCAGAACCCTCCAGGCGACAGCCAAACAAACAAATGTTTGCTCCTCGCCTTCGTGGAGGCGCTCCAGATACTACCCGTCATAGAATTTGAATGATCAAAAGTTGATCAAACCCATCCAATTCGAAAAAACCATCCGTTTTTGAGTGAAAAACATCTAAGTCTCAAGTAGAGGATGTAAATCTGATATATTTTAGCCATTCTTGGCAGCCATTCTTGGCCCAAATATTTAACCATGTTCCACCGTTCGGCTGGGTGACCGGCTTGAGGCTTTGCTGGACTTCGCACGAGACGTGAACAAGATGAAGGCAAGGGATCCGTGTAAGTGTACACAGAAAGACATGTTATGCATATAAATAGTTATATAAACTCAGTATATAAAACATGTATATTTAAGTATATAAATATTGGTGCAATATATCAATATGTATGATTCGGTATGATATAATACCCAAATATAACTATAACTATTACAACAGATTACACATACGCAAATACATATACAAACCATCCTCCTTGAGTTTAACATGATAGCAGCAACTTCGCCTTCGTCATGATCCCATGATGAGACATTTTGCCTCGACAGCCTCTGGCTTCATGAGAGCCAAGCAACTTTAATTATACGCTCTGAGGATCAAGTACGTGGTTGAGACAGCACAGAATGCTTAGTGTGTTGCGCTTGCTTGGACTTTTTTGATGGGCCAACCTAGGTTTTTCAGAGAGCAGCATGTGCAAGTGATTGAGTCATTGAGGCCATTTCTCATGCATTTTGTGTGACTTTGAACAGATCTGGCCGAAGACGACACTTTTCTTCTTGACAGCTCCGGCTGGTGATGGTACGAACAACTTTAATATACTCCGAGGCCCTTTGATCTTGCTTCTAATAGAGATGTTGCGGGAGTGTCCAATGATGCCACATTTTCCCTAGACAGCCTTCGGCTGAATGAATTCTAAAGATTTTAATTAAACTCTGAGGATCAAGTACATGGTCAGATTCATGCCAGAATACTTAGCCCTTTACGCTTAGTCGTTAGTCCCTGGGCTGTGGCAGTTTTTCAGAACTAGCATCTGCAAGTACTTGTCGCCACGTCTTACAAAACATTTGAGCGAAAGTACAAACTTCAATAGAGGCCCTTGATGCGTCTGGTGACAAAGGTGAAGTAGTTGTAGAACATAGTCCTATGATGAGACATTTTGCCTCGACAGCCTCTGGCTTCATGAGAGCCAAGCAACTTTAATTGTACGCTCTGAGGATCAAGTACGTGGTTGAGACAGCACAGAATGCTTAGTGTGTTGCGCTTGCTTGGACTTTTTTGATGGGCCAACCTAGGTTTTTCAGAGAGCAGCATATACAAGTGCTTGAGTCATTGAGGCAGTTTCTCATGTATTTTGTGACTTTGAACAGATCTGGCCGAAGACGACACTTTTCTTCTTGACAGCTCCGGCTGGTGATGGTACGAACAACTTTAATATACTCCGAGGCCCTTTGATCTTGCTTCTAATAGAGATGTTGCGGGAGTGTCCAATGATGCCACATTTTCCCTAGACAGCCTTCGGCTGAATGAATTCCAAAGATTTTAATTAAACTCTGAGGATCAAGTACATGGTCAGCATGCCAGAATACTTAGCCCTTTATGCTTAGTCGTTAGTCCCTGGGCCGTGGCAGTTTTTCAGAACTAGCATCTGCAAGTACTTGTCGCCATGTCTTACAAAACATTTGAGCGAAAGTACAAACTTCAATAGAGGCCCTTGATGCGTCTGGTGACAAAGGTGAAGTAGTTGTAGCAACATAGTCCTATGATGAGACATTTTGCCTCGACAGCCTCTGGTTTCGTGAGAGCCAAGCAACTTTAATTATACGCTCTGAGGATCAAGTACGTGGTTGAGACAGCACAGAATGCTTAGTGTGTTGCGCTTGCTTGGACTTTTTTGATGGGCCAACCTAGGTTTTTCAGAGAGCAGCATGTGCAAGTGCTTGAGTCATTGAGGCAGTTTCTCATGTATTTTGTGACTTTGAACAGATCTGGCCGAAGACGACACTTTTCTTCTTGACAGCTCCGGCTGGTGATGGTACGAACAACTTTAATATACTCCGAGGCCCTTTGATCTTGCTTCTAATAGAGATGTTGCGGGAGTGTCCAATGATGCCACATTTTCCCTAGACAGCCTTCGGCTGAATGAATTCTAAAGATTTTAATTAAACTCTGAGGATCAAGTACATGGTCAGCATGCCAGAATACTTAGCCCTTTATGCTTAGTCGTTAGTCCCTGGGCTGTGGCAGTTTTTCAGAACTAGCATCTGCAAGTACTTGTCGCCACGTCTTACAAAACATTTGAGCGAAAGTACAAACTTCAATAGAGGCCCTTGATGCGTCTGGTGACAAAGGTGAAGTAGTTGTAGCAACATAGTCCTATGATGAGACATTTTGCCTCGACAGCCTCTGGCTTCATGAGAGCCAAGCAACTTTAATTATACGCTCTGAGGATCAAGTACGTGGTTGAGACAGCACAGAATGCTTGGTGTGTTGCGCTTGCTTGGACTTTTTTGATGGGCCAACCTAGGTTTTTCAGAGAGCAGCATGTGCAAGTGATTGAGTCATTGAGGCCATTTCTCATGCATTTTGTGTGACTTTGAACAGATCTGGCCGAAGACGACACTTTTCTTCTTGACAGCTCCGGCTGGTGATGGTACGAACAACTTTAATATACTCCGAGGCCCTTTGATCTTGCTTCTAATAGAGATGTTGCGGGAGTGTCCAATGATGCCACATTTTCCCTAGACAGCCTTCGGCTGAATGAATTCTAAAGATTTTAATTAAACTCTGAGGATCAAGTACATGGTCAGATTCATGCCAGAATACTTAGCCCTTTATGCTTAGTCGTTAGTCCCTGGGCCGTGGCAGTTTTTCAGAACTAGCATCTGCAAGTACTTGTCGCCACGACTTACAAAACATTTGAGCGAAAGTACAAACTTCAATAGAGGCCCTTGATGCGTCTGGTGACAAAGGTGAAGTAGTTGTAGCAACATAGTCCTATGATGAGACATTTTGCCTCGACAGCCTCTGGCTTCATGAGAGCCAAGCAACTTTAATTATACGCTCTGAGGATCAAGTACGTGGTTGAGACAGCACAGAATGCTTAGTGTGTTGCGCTTGCTTGGACTTTTTTGATGGGCCAACCTAGGTTTTTCAGAGAGCAGCATGTGCAAGAACTTGAGTCATTGAGGCAGTTTCTCATGTATTTTGTGTGACTTTGAACAGATCTGGCCGAAGACTACACTTTTCTTCTTGACAGCTCCGGCTGGTGATGGTACGAACAACTTTAATATACTCCGAGGCCCTTTGATCTTGCTTCTAATAGAGATGTTGCGGGAGTGTCCAATGATGCCACATTTTCCCTAGACAGCCTTCGGCTGAATGAATTCTAAAGATTTTAATTAAACTCTGAGAATCAAGTACATGGTCAGATTCATGCCAGAATACTTAGCCCTTTACGCTTAGTCGTTAGTCCCTGGGCTGTGGCAGTTTTTCAGAACTAGCATCTGCAAGTACTTGTCGCCACGACTTACAAAACATTTGAGCGAAAGTACAAACTTCAATAGAGGCCCTTGATGCGTCTGGTGACAAAGGTGAAGTAGTTGTAGCAACATAGTCCTATGATGAGACATTTTGCCTCGACAGCCTCTGGCTTCATGAGAGCCAAGCAACTTTAATTATACGCTCTGAGGATCAAGTACGTGGTTGAGACAGCACAGAATGCTTGGTGTGTTGCGCTTGCTTGGACTTTTTTGATGGGCCAACCTAGGTTTTTCAGAGAGCAGCATGTGCAAGTGATTGAGTCATTGAGGCCATTTCTCATGCATTTTGTGTGACTTTGAACAGATCTGGCCGAAGACGACACTTTTCTTCTTGACAGCTCCGGCTGGTGATGGTACGAACAACTTTAATATACTCCGAGGCCCTTTGATCTTGCTTCTAATAGAGATGTTGCGGGAGTGTCCAATGATGCCACATTTTCCCTAGACAGCCTTCGGCTGAATGAATTCCAAAGATTTTAATTAAACTCTGAGAATCAAGTACATGGTCAGATTCATGCCAGAATACTTAGCCCTTTACGCTTAGTCGTTAGTCCCTGGGCTGTGGCAGTTTTTCAGAACTAGCATCTGCAAGTACTTGTCGCCACGTCTTGCAAAACATTTGAGCGAAAGTACAAACTTCAATAGAGGCCCTTGATGCGTCTGGTGACAAAGGTGAAGTACGAGTAGTTGTAGCAACATAGTCCTATGATGAGACATTTTGCCTCGACAGCCTCTGGTTGCATGAGAGCCAAGCAACTTTAATTATACGCTCTGAGGATCAAGTACGTGGTTGAGACAGCACAGAATGCTTAGTGTGTTGCGCTTGCTTGGACTTTTTTGATGGGCCAACCTAGGTTTTTCAGAGAGCAGCATGTGCAAGTGATTGAGTCATTGAGGCCATTTCTCATGCATTTTGTGTGACTTTGAACAGATCTGGCCGAAGACGACACTTTTCTTCTTGACAGCTCCGGCTGGTGATGGTACGAACAACTTTAATATACTCCGAGGCCCTTTGATCTTGCTTCTAATAGAGATGTTGCGGGAGTGTCCAATGATGCCACATTTTCCCTAGACAGCCTTCGGCTGAATGAATTCCAAAGATTTTAATTAAACTCTGAGGATCAAGTACATGGTAGACCATCATGGTCAGACCATGCCAGGATACTTAGCCCTTTACGCTTAGTCGTTAGTCCCTGGGCTGTGGCAGTTTTTCAGAACTAGCATCTGCAAGTACTTGTCGCCACGTCTTGCAAAACATTTGAGCGAAAGTACAAACTTCAATAGAGGCCCTTGATGCGTCTGGTGTCAAAGGTGAAGTAGTTGTAGCAACATGGTCCTGTGATGAGACATTTTGCCTCGACAGCCTCTGGTTGCATGAGAGCCAAGCAACTTTAATTATACGCTCTGAGGATCAAGTACGTGGTTGAGACAGCACAGAATGCTTAGTGTGTTGCGCTTGCTTGGACTTTTCTGATGGGCCAACCTAGGTTTTTCAGAGAGCAGCATTTGCAAGTGCTTGAGTCATTGAGGCAGTTTCTCATGTATTTTGTGTGACTTTGAACAGATCTGGCCGAAGACGACACTTTTCTTCTTGACAGCTCCGGCTGGTGATGGTACGGACAACGTCAATATACTTTGAGTATATAGAAAGCTGTGCAGACCTGTATGCTTCTTTCGATCAAGCTATTTTAACTAGTAATTCTCATTGTGAAATTTCAACAGATGTATGATTAACCGGTACAAAGATGAATTCATGTCCAGCACATGCTTTGGTCTCAAATGATTTTGGATTTTAAATCTGTCCCGAAGTAGATGTATGAGCTTTCTGTTTTTAGCTATATGCTCTGAAGATTCAATAGATTTGACACCCTTCTGTTCGGAAGAGTACCTGATTTTTTTGCTTGGTTTTATCAACTTCTCTATGTGTTTTTGGAGAACAGCCAACCTTGCATCACAATAAGCCTTATTCAATAAGCAATCTGAGATTGCTCTAGCTACAGAATCTCAGGTGGGTGGTACGTCAGCTCTCAGCGCGAGTATTGCAGAGGCCGGAAAGTGCTGGAAAGTGCTGGAAAGTGCAAAATCAAACCTTGCTGACCAACTGGACCAACTGTTTGTTGTTTTACTGTTTCGGATTTTCGATATCATTGACACAGCTCCTACTCAGATCACTTTGGATATTTCTGAGATATTTGAGCGGATGGCCAATTTTCAAGCATTTTACCCTTTGGACAATCTAAGCTGGTCATGGATTCTTCACCTTTGATGATTTCCTGCATGGAGGCGATGCTGCAGAAGCTCTTTGAGTGGTGGTGGCCCAAGGTCCCAAGGTCCCAAGGTCCCAAGGTTCGGGATCTGTGAGATCACCGCAATGGCAATGTCCCCGGGTGTGGAACTGGTTGATTCACCAGCAATTTATAGCAGATTTCAATGGGAAACTATGATGAACCAGAAGATTGTGGGTTTTTCCCAGCATTTTCGGACGCAATGCTGGCAGCTGATGCAGCTGCGTCGCCTCAGGCTGCAGTTTCTTTTCCTGCCTCCTTCGGGTCTGATTTGCCGGTCCGGAACCAAGATCTGCAAAGCAGTGAACCACGGAGGATGAGGAGTGCCGGGTGCTTGCCGGGTGCTCTGAGGCTTGCCTCCGCAGTATCTATGTCCAACCTTCTTCAACGAGTGGTGCCGGAGGCTCAAGGTTTGAGTACCCTGCGGCGCTGCGGTTGTGGAAAACATGGCGGGTCAACAGGATCATCGGATGTTTTTTTTTACATGTAAACAAAACGTCATCAACCATGGCTAGTTCATTCTTGTGAAAAATGTGGAATCTCTAGGCTTGTGACCCCCATGGCCTCTCCAAATCCGAATTTCTTCCAAGGAAATGTGAGCGTGCGCTCTTCTCCGTCCCAGATGTGTGCAACAGTATCTACGCTCGGAAGTACAGTGTGCTGGAGCGCAGGCCTTGGAGATGGAACGGGAGAGCACATAATGTGACATGATGGACCCGCATAATGTCTACTTAGTCATACTTAGTGTACTTGTTTGGAACTTTTTTTGCATTTTTTTCCCTAGCTTTTCATTTTCCTTGCCTTCTGCAATGAGACAATGTCGGTGCGTGCAATCGGAAGTGCAATCGTGTCCAGAGCGTACACTCGAGCTAAGGCACTATGTTCGACGGCATTTCCTGGCCTTTGTAGCTTTGTGACCCAGAGATTTGAACTTTGAAGCGGTTTGATGTGTCTGATTGATTCTGATTGTGTGGCCGTTTCTGTCGGATTCCGAATTTCCCAGGTACAATCAGAGACACGAAGATCCTGCAGATGAAGCGCAGCGAGCATCCCAGGGCGTCCCAGGGCGTCCGAAGGCATCGGAATGCCGCGCGTTTCTCGGAGTTTCTGGGATTTCCCTTGAGGTGCAACGAAGCGTGTCGACTCCATGTGGAGACCTTGACCTGTCCTCAGGGCGTCTGGGAAAGATGCTACAGTCCGTGCTTATCATGGTGATATTTATATATAATATATATATATATTATTTATATTATTTATCCTAACATGGGAATGGAACTTCCACCAATGTGAACCCATAGATATCCATAGATTCTCTCCATGGAGTTTCTGGAATTTCCAATGGCCATGATGGCGCGTAGGCTTGCCATGGCGAGCATCAGAATGGAAGATCATTTGTCGTCCGAGTCCAAGGGAACTTCGGGAACTTGTCATAGCACGAGACCCTTCAGACGCTTCACACGTGCTTCACGTGTGCTTCACGTGTGCTTCACGTGTAGGCGGCGGGCCTTCCTCCAACAGTCCGTGCTGGACTTCTTTGTTGGAGAGGTGGGAGAGTCCCTGGAGAGTTCTACACATTTCTGGAAGTAACTCGGAAAGTGTCGCAAGATCTCGTGGGATGGCGTGATACGAGGTCTTGTTGCCATGAAAGCAGAGATTAGATATTAGAATCATTGGAATGTCACTAGAATTCATCACCTTTCCTCGCTGGTTGTTTGGGTCCGCACTGTGTCCTTCGTGACTCGCAGATCGAACTGGAGCACGTAACTCACCAGATGCATTTGAACTTCATGCGACGCTGGAGCCTCAATTTCCTGCAGCACCCTGCGACGCGCCCCGTGGGCCGAGTGCAGCGAGGTCATAACATGACAGCCGTGAGCCAGCAGCCATCTCAGCCATCTCAGCCATTTCAGCTGTGCCCATGTTGCCATTGCCAGAGGCCACCCCAACCTTTTAAGCCAGCAGCTGCCCCAGCACCGCCAGGGAGGGGCTGTGGGTTCCTAAAAAAAAAAAGATTTTCGGAGGCAGAGCCAAAGTTGCCTGCAGCTGCACCCTTACCGGGGTTAACCGCAGCTCCACCTGTCTGGTGCTTGGACAATCCGTGGCTTCGCAGGGGACTCAACTGATCTCAACTGGTCAACTTTCCTGGAAAGGCCTTGCCTGAAGCGAAAGCCAAAGCGGCCGGCAAAGCACGGCCGGTGCCAGCGTGCCCATCTTAGGCGTCAATAGTCTTGAAGGATTTCACTGCAACAGATGGAGGTCTTTGTCTATGAATTCTTCTGCCATAAGGCTTTCGTTGGTTGGACTTCCAGCTTCAGTTCAAGGCTCTCTGATGTCACTAGCACAGATGTCAATCGGAGGTGAAACAGTGGATATGCAGTGGATGTAGCTACTGAGTTTGCTGCGATGCTTTGTTCAAGCCAGTGGCTGAAAAGGATTCATGGAACAAGGGAACACCAGCTGCCAACTGGTGTCGCCATTGTCGATCTTCTCAGACGCTTCACAAGAGGTACATGGCATTTGTGTAGTCGACTCCATGTCACCACGTGGTTGGGCTCTATACAGAAGAAGTTGCAGTTTTGCTCTTGGAATAGCTGGGCCATGCTGGGGCCAAGATTGACATTTTTTGTTCCTCCGATAAAGCTCCTTAGCTATATCGACGATGGCCTCTTGAATGGCAGAGGCGGGATGTCTGGTTTCCATGTTGAATCGCTCAGCAGCTGAACATATCTGAACTCTGAACATTAGGCGCATGGCTTTCCAACATCTGGCAGTGTCTGTGCACATGGAACTATCCATCTGCCCGCATCCCAGATTTTTGGCAGAGCCACAGCACTTGGAAATCTGGGGATGGATCATGATCAAGACATATCAAAACCCATATTTTATACAGTTATACAATGTGATACAAACTTTAGACAATGTTAGACAATGTCACGTAGTCATAGGTTACACCGTTACACCATATTCTGGGCTAACATCCAAACATCCAGCCATACCGGTCATACCGAGTCATACTTCAGCTATTTTGATGTTCACCCGGCCATCCGGGGAGAGCTCTCCCCGGAAGCTGCACGAGGTCTTGGGCACTTCGACGTCGCAAACGGACACGGCCCAGGCGGATTCGTGGCCCCAATGGAATCCGACCAGGAAGTCGGGTGCACGAAATTTTGCTCCAGGACCAGTCACTACAGGGGTGTGTGTGAAAATAGTGTACCCCTAAACCCAATGGTTAATGATCATTATCCCTATTAAATGGCTATAATTGGGAATATACCCCATTTTCAGACAAACCCACAGTCACTAGTCTATAAGAGTCACTTCCAATTTCATGATTACAGATATAAGACTCACGCAATAGCATCATGAAACATTGACCCACATTTTTCATCATTTTTCGGTCAGCTCCAATTCCCATGCTTCACATCCGCTCACCTCGCAGGAGGAGATGGACATCCCACAGCTCCAGGCGGAGTTGGCCGCGAAGGCCGATGAGGTGGTGAGGAAAGGTCATCGCTGCAATGGCTCGGTGTTTGATGGCGAGGCGATGGCTGGAGCAAAGGATTTGGATGTTGGGTGATGTTGGGATGTGGTGAGAAGTGGCTCTGTAAGTTTTTCTTTGACTTTTGACTTGATGTTTGTTGATGTCTGTTGATGTCTGTTGATTCCCAGAGATTTCCTGCCATCTCAACATGACGCCCTGTTGGTCAGGTCTTTTGCGTCAGCATGCCATCGTGCAGATCTCGGCGTCGCCATAGCGAGCAAGAGTTGATACGCAACTTGACCTGCAGTTTGATGAATTTGGGATTTTGTGTCTTTATAGTTCCTACACATGCCCTAAAAAGATCCCCGTGGCAATTTCCACTCTAGAACTGGTGAACCTGTGCATAGTTTAAACGATTCTTTTAATGTATTGGAATTTTAAAATTGATGTCAGGCTAGTCATTGTATTGTTGGGGGGTTGGTCTGAGCATTTTATTGGCAAGGTAAATCCTGATGATTTTTAACATGTTAAAATTCCATTCTCATTTTATTGCAAAAAAAAGTCTGTTTGGAGCATTTTATTGCAGAATGGAACCAATGCTTTTCCAGGATCTGTTTATATCGATTTTATTGGGCATGTCATTTTAGATCAGCGAATTTTAAGGATTTTGAAGGAATTCTAAAGAATTTTAAGGAATATTAAGGAATTTTAAAGGAATTATAAGGAATATTAAGGAATTTTAAAGGAATTATAAGGACATTTAAGGAATTTTGAGAGTTTTAAGGAATTTTAAGGAATCTTAGAGGAATTTTAAGGAATTTAAGGAATTTGACGGAATTTGAAGGAATTTGGAGGATTTTTAAGGATCTTTAAGGTTTTTAAATTTTAAAGGATATTTAAGGAATTTTAAGGAGTTTATTGGATTTTTAAGGAATTTAAAGGATTTTTAAGGAATTTTAAGGAATTGCCACGAAAGAATGCCACCGTATTTTGTTGCTATAAAATGCTATAAAAAAGAAACACACTTAATATTTGGGCACCTTCACTCTAAAATTCCCCTATCTAAAAAGAATTTCCTGACCCCTTTTTAAAGAGGCGTTTCTGAGGGTCTTCGAAATTGGATGAAGTTGGATGCAAATTCGGGCATGAATTTGCTGGCAAGGCATTTTATTGCAGAACCAGTTTTCATTGTTTTTGTGCATTTTAAAGCCTGAGCCCCTATGCACAAAAGTTAGACCGCTCTAAAACTCCTGCACAGCTTCATATACTGAAATGGAACCCCGATCTAAAAAGAGCTTCAGAAAATGGGCAATCTGGCAAACTCGACATGTATTTATTGGTGGTCTATGTACATAAGAATCATATGCATGTGATATGTGCTGCAGCTAAAATCAGCTAAATAGAGCTTGCTGGATTCAGGCTGGGGCTTCCCGGCCCCTCATTTCGTCGAAGCATTTGGACCAGAGGATGATGAGGTTCTCGAATGGTTCAATTCCCCGCTGCTCGGCAGTGTTCTTTCAGCAGCCATATGTGACGAGTGGCACGTCTTGATGCATCTCTTGGAAAAAGAGAAGTAAAAATCTAGGAAAGTATAGAGCCACACATTTGAAACCATTTGAAAGCAAGATGTAAGCCGCCACTTTTTTCAGTGACATCGTCGTTCGCTGCAATCTTCTGTTAGCACTGGATGTTTCCAAGGCGGGTGGCAAAGTTTCCGCCCTGCTTTCGCTGTGGTTTGGTCTCTGAATGCTGCTGTGCCAACAACGATATGCTCCAAGAGCAGATTGCCAATTGGCTTTCTTTCCGGAAGGCTCGGAGGCTTTGAGAAGTTTGTCAGTTCGCAATGGGCTGAAACATGGCTGTTGAACATTTGAACATTTGAGTAGTTTTTTTTTTGCGAAGGGGTGCCGTTTGGCCAGGCTTGGGCAGAAATTGCCAACTCCAATAAGGAGTGGCACCTGCTGGTGGAGGATGATTTGAAGTTCACGCACAAAGCTGCGGAGTGTTGGAATCAGCTCGTCACGTACCTTGATGGATATGAAAAACAAACAGTTTCTTGGGGTGCAGTTGGGCTTACGATGAAACCATGATGATACGTGATAACCCGTTTTTTTTTGACCAATATCAATGTATATAATATCCATATACATATATTATATGACATATATGTTTATCAAGTGGAATTGCACCCCAACTGTGGTTGCAGAAATTGATTGAAACAGAGGTGTGCGGTTCATGTCAGACCCTTGCCTGGTTGAGCCACCAAGGCGAGATCTTTTGAATGAGCATTCAGGCTTTCCTGGGAGAGTCCAGCTGAATGATTTGAAGGGCCCAGTTGTTGGTCTTTAGGCTATGGATAGTTTGTATGTGTGAAATCAAATGAACCAGATGTAGTGTATAATATATGTATAATATATGTATATATATGTAATATATATATAATATAAAGATATATAAAGATATTATGTAAATGTTAGAGCTATGGATATATTGATGCCGGAGGGGGCATGCGGCATGATTCGTCGAAGTTCTTCCAGCGTTTTAGATGATGGACGTTCACAGGAGTGCCGTGCGTCCTTCGCTGCGGTTGGCAGCTGGGAGTCGAGTATTGTGATGATGACCCTCCAGAGCTTCTGCCGGATGTGGTGCGGATGTCTCTTGGAGAGATCCATGGAGATCCCAATGTCACCTTTTAGTGGTCCATAATTAGGCCCATCGATTTCCAGAAAGGTTTCAATACTACCCTCTGGTAATTTAACGTAGCTATGGAAAATCACCATTTTGAATGGGTAAATCCACTATAAATGGTGTCAGCTATGTTAAATTACCAGAGAGTAAGTCATGGTTCATGACTTCGATGATTGGGCCACTGAGGTCCAACCATTGCTCTTTGATGAATCGATTGATGGCGACCCTTGGCGCGGCTGGAATCTTCGATAGGAGAAATGACATGGGTGGTTCTAAGGCACCAACAATAGGATATAAATGGGGATATTATTGCAGATGCTCTGGGGATTATATGGGATTATTGGGATTGTTGGGATTAATAGGAGTGTTGGATACTAGTAGTATTCGGATTAATATTGACATTAACAAAGCATCCCTGGCCATCTGTCACTGTCGCTGAGGCAAGAACTCCTTCTTGGCAGCGAAGAACACATTTCTGCCACTTCGGATGTGTTTACACATGAGGCTGGAGCTCAAGATCTGTTTTGCAACATCGTGTGAGTCTTGTTGCCTTCATGGGCTGCAATATGTATATATAACTACATGACAAACATCAACAAATCTCTGCATCATTAGATTAGTTTATTAGAAGCCAATGTTCGATTTCCTGACTCTAACACAACGTTTCTCTTCGACTCCAGATTGTGGCGCCCAACTTCTGCCATTTCACGATGTTCCCGCCGATATCTTATGATGCTCGGCATCTTTTCCTGAGACCACTCGCATCGTTGGATGTCATGAGCATTCTTATTTTGGCTATGTGGGTAGGTGAACATTCTTATTTTTCCATTCATTTGGCATTTTCTGTCCACCAAATTATATACCAGGGAACCAGCCATATCATCCCAATCATCCCAATTCTGGCAGAAATCAATGTGTTGTGTACCCTTTTGAGGACCTTTCCTTTGCACTGAAAGTTCCATCCCTGATTCGCCCCAAAGGCCGGATGGCTGCCTCGTTGGCTGACCTTCAGGGTATTCAAAAACATGGACAAAACACATTTTTTAGTTCACTTTTTGTTGTCTTCACTCATTTTGACCTGATTCTTTTGAGGTTTATTTTCATTTGTTTTATCATCGACCAGTTTTGGTGACGCTTTGGAATCATTCTCATGATCAATTTTGAGCCATGAACAATTTTATTGGTTATTTTACAGCATCAGAAATAATACTACCTTGTTAGTTATGGAGTATATTGGGGTATCCATTGATTTCTATATAGCCTCTGGTAATTCAACATAGCGAAGCCATGGCTCATTTCGTTCGATCATCTGCCGAACTGCGAGCTGGTGGCTTTCCAGTTCCCAAACTGTTTAATTACCACAAGTTATATCCCCATGATATCCCCACTATTCCTAGTTAAATCAGCATGTTGATAGTCTGATAGTCATTTCCTAGTAAATCCCCATGAAATCCCCTGGGTATTCCATTATAAAATCCATTAAATTTCTATCTGGGTGAATCCAACTCTTGATCCATCCATTCCATCTATTGCTTGGTTTATTGGACACAAAAAATACCACCTGTCTGAGGACTGATGGAGGTTTCTTAAAATAGGGCTACCCCTAGTTATCATCCATTTTAGATATATGGATTTTCCCATATAAATCCAGCTATTGGGGTTATCCCCATGATATCCCATGACTATGGAAACCCCCATGACTACAACAGGGCACTGATCCACCATGGATCTACCGATTTTCGGGCCAGGCACCATGGATGACGACCTCCAACACGCCGTGGCCGTGGATCGTGCGCGGCGGGTGGAGCCGCAGAAGATCCGGGTCTGGCTGCAGAGCTTGGCAACTTGGATCGGAGATATCGGAGATCCGACATGGAAGTGGGATTAATGGTATTAAACATGGAAGATAATTAGCCTCTGGTAAACTAACATAGCTATTGAAAATCACCATTTTTAATGGGAAAATCCACTATTAATGGATTACCCTCTGGTTATTTAACATAGCCATGGTATAGATGGCCCATAGAAATAGATGGTTTACCTATTAAAAATGGGTGGATTTTCCATGGCTATGTTAGTTCAACCAGATGGATTAATGGTATTAAACATGGAAGATCATTATCTGGGTATGGATCAATACCTATGAAAATACCATTTGTTAGTGGGATCATCCATAAATCCCAGCTATTTTGGGATTCACTAGGTACCAGGGTTTTGACCCATCCCCATCTGAGTTATCTGTTACTAATGGATAATTTTCATGGTACTTAATGGATAATTATACCCATTAAATCCCATTCATGGAGAATTAATTCCATCTGGTACTACATCTTTCTATATTCAATGGATCCAATGAATGGGATTTATGGACGATTTATCCTCCAGGAAAGCCTGGAATAGTTGTGGTAGATCACCATTCTTAATAGGTCCATCGTCTCTAAATATGCGATTTTCAATGAACAGTGAAACATCCAGGAAGGTCGGTGGATGTAAAGAATGCAGAGTGGAAAAAACATCCATGATTTTTGGGCTGAACTCATGATAAACATTGATAAACTATGAACAACTGATGATGATGATGATGATGTTATTTTTGGCGAAAGTTGTCAGTCTTTGAACATATTCTGGCCATGAATGGGGAGAAACCGTGAGATGGGTCTCAACAAACATCTATGGGATACATTGGCGGCTGCTCATTGTTGTGGGTTGGTACTCACATGTATGTTGGGAATTTGTCAACCAAACGTTTGCTCGTTGTAGGGGGATGACAGACATCTAAACTCACAACATGTTTGGTTGCAAAATTGAGGATTATTACTGTATATGAGACAATCTTTTGACAGTTTTGCGTGTTGCTCACATGGAGCTGCAGCCGACACCATTCACAACTCAATTTAGGTCTGTCTTCATGACAGACATCACAGTTGACGCCCAATCTGAGGTGTGGCTGCGTGAAGTGAATTGCACTTTGCCCTGCATTCATGGCTGGGAACAGCTTCAAGATGGCCAGGAGGAGCCGATTTGTAGCCACCGATGTTACCATGGCCGCCATGGCCGCCATGGCCCGCCATGGCCAGGAGTTTCCAGTCAGAGCATGGAGCCAAGACACGAGCGTCGAACATGTTGTAGCTTATGAGTCAGCAGGCTTCGGCTGATCCAGTCACAAGGCATGAACACTTTATGGACCGCTTTCTGATGGTTGTGGAGATGATCATTAAAATCATGAAAATGTCATTTGTGTTGCCATCATTTGTGTCAAGACAGAGGAGCTCCAGACACGTGACACGCGTGACACGCGTGACACGCGTGACACGCGTGACACGAGGTGGTTTGTGACCTTCGGGAGCCACCTGCCTGGATTTATGCGGCCTATCGTTTCTTCGTGGGCCCTGCCGCCTTTCGACCACGGGATTTCCGCCGCGTGGACCGTGCAGTGCTGCACTGACGTGTGAATTTCGTGATGGTCGCGACGACCTGTTGCGTGTGCTGCACCTGGCAGGACTTGGAATGGGTGGCAACGACTGACTTGGCATTTCCGATCTGAAAAGAAGGGATTTTACTGTAGAGCGGTGAAGTGAGTTGGATGCCAGTCCTTGGGGGAGTCCTCAATCAGCATCAATCCATTACTGTAATGATTTATATCTCAATAAAAGTAATGTGCGTATACATGCATATCTGTATAATATCTATATATACTATACGGTAACGACATTTAAATATTTGGAGGGCGGGCCGGAGGTAGTATAAGATACCAGTTCGTATATTCAAATGTAGTTACCGTATGTTGAAATGAATTGGATTCCGTATGTTTAAATGGCCGGGCGGGCCAAGGAAAACCTTCCCGGAGGTAGTCTGAAATACCTGTTCGTATATTTTAAAATCCGTATACTATATCTATATATATGATTAATGCCAACTCCGGATTAATAAACCATGGCTTATTAATTGTGGGGGTACCCTCCAAATAGTCACACTATGATACTTAAATGGGATCCCCCCAATTAAACAACCGTTTGGGGTTTATTAATCCAGGGTTGACATTATATATGGTTAGTGAAATATGATAATTTACCCAGATATATGTATATATAGCATCATGTTCATATACTGAATTCATCACAGCATTATCAAGAATCCACAGGCTGCCTCGCGCTGGGTGCAGCCCCACCTGAGGCGAGGACGCCGGATAGATGGTGAAATTTTGAAGAAATCTCAATGAATCCATCTATAATTGGATGATATTACACATATTTTGGCTGCACATATATATATACATAATCACATATGTATATACATACACATGTGTATATATATATACAATTATATATATAGAATATATATATATTATATACAGAGGTATGTATGTTGGAGATATTGGATGATTTGGATGATTTGGATGGTTTGATCCATCCATTTGTGGTCCAGGAAGTGGCTCGTTTGGATCCGGCATCTCAGTCGAATCAGCGGATGGGTGGATTGTCATCCAGGGTCGGTGTGTTGAAACCGGTTACGGGGTGTCTGTTTTTGGAGCGGTTATAGTATAGTTAGTATAGGTTAGACACTACCAAATAGTGTTAACTATAGTGTTAAACATGATCTGTTTTTGGATATTAGACAATCAAGAAGCTGTCGGGAAAAGAAACATGAACTACATTAATCAGCTCTGTCATAGACCAAATCTACCGGTGAAGCCATAGACCAATCATCATCATATTGTTTTGTCTCAGAAATGGCTCACAGTAGCTCAATATCTTTGGACAAAAATCTGGGTGGTCAAGAGTTGCCTGGCATATGGATGATCATTCAGCAGATATTTTGGTCGGATTTCAACATGTTCAATAATTGGTGGTTTTATATGGCTTTTCTATGATCTATATTATTTTCAATTATGGCATTTCAGTTATCATCTATTAATTCTTGCTATATATTTGGTATGATAACTCTAATTATTATAATGATTACTATATATTTCAATAACACTATATATTTCAATTATCATCTATTAATTATAATTTATCTATTTCCAAAGTTTCGTCCGGTTTCTGGGAGCCTGATGGAGCCTGAGGCTGGCGTTGAGGAGCCACCATTGATCCAGGCCACCCCCGAGCTGGAACTGGCAGCAGTCGAGGACGACAGTAGTGATGAGGCGCCATGGCCGCCATGGGATGTCGCAACCTGCGGAGATTTTAAGCGGAAGTTTCATGATGTTTGATGGCGTTTTTGTTGGCCAGACAGGGGATGTGGATAATATATATATATACTGATTCGTCAGGTATTCGTCATTGATAATTTTGCGTATCTAAGATTGAATCATGACTTTCAATGCACAAAAATTGCGGATTTGGGTTATTTCTGGTAGTAAACCGTCTCACTAATCAGGCTGTTTCTGACAAGTGGTATGGTTGTGGAAGGATACTAAAACTAGGTTTAGAGATTGCCATAGAAATTTTCACAAAACATCTTAAATATCAAAAAACTTCATAGATATCATTTTATAGTAGATATTCCATATTTATAGATCAATCCCCTTAAATTTAGTGGTTTCCTAAACTAGGGCTACCCCTAGTTATCATCTAGTTTAGATTGGGAATTTCCATGAAATAAACCATCTATTTCTTGGGGTACCCCCATGACTAAGGAACCCCCCAGCTGCCCCATCTCCAGCATTTTCGCAGGACTTGGCAGCTCCAGATGATCCACCGCCGATGCTGCAAGTGGAGGAAGCTCCGCCCATTCCGTTGAGAGCTTAGGAGGATCATTTCATGGATGAGAATACAGGTGATATGTATATAGTATATAGTATATAGTATATAGTATATAGTATATAGTATATAGTATATAGTATATAGTATATAGTATATAGTATATAGTATATATACTATATACGTTCACATATGTTTTGTGTATATATATATACATAATTATATAATGGTTATGTTGTACATTTATTCTAAACATAAAATAATCACATGTACATATGTCTTATTTGTGGTGGTCTATCATGATATGTTGATGATATGTGACTGACGAGGTCGAAGTGTTGACTTATATGATTCTGGACAGATGATAAAGGACCTCTAGATAGCAGAGCCCAATAAATGAGGGTCAACAGGAGATTAATACATGATGCTAATGACTCCCAGTTTAGAACTTATCATGATTTCCCAGGAATGATGATACATGATGATTTTTACCAAGCATGAGGAATTTTGGGACGGGTCAAAACCCTATGAAACCAACAAGTGGAGATCTAACTATCTGGATGTAGTGGGGATTGGCCAAGCACCTAATTGGATCACCAACAATTTCATGAGTTGAGGGGGATGAAAAATTGATGACACTCCAGCTTTATTACAGCGGTTCTGCTGTGACTTCATAAGGGGTTTCAGGGGGTGAAATGACCCATGTGGTGATGCACTGCCCCCGTGAAGAAACCTCAGTGATCCGAAAGTAGCGATGCTAAGGCCGTTGCTTCCTCCAGTGATGCCTCTGCCTTTGAAGAAGGACGTCAAGGTTGGGGAAAATGCGGATGCTGAAAGGGTTTCATGGAGCAATATTCCCAATTCCAATTCCTCTTTTCGAAGAAATCCATAAAATCTGTAGAATCCCAAATCGAATCCATTCAAATTGGAACTGTTTGGTGTTCCAATTGGCACAGGTGCCTTCGCTATCCTTCACGGGAATCCGGCCCAGCATGCAAGGTTGTTCCAGCCTCACTTCCAGCCTCGGGGCTTGATCGTGGTTGAGCACACCCAAAATGGCATGTTTCTGGAGGAAATGGACGATCAAATGGACGATGAAATGGACTCAGTTCCTCTTCGTAACCTCGTTTTCTGAGGTTCTGGTCTTGGTGCACCTCCACCTGAGGAGCCTGGCATACAACCAGAGGTCCAGTCACCATTCGTGCCACCTGCCAGTCCAGAGCTGGACGAGGCTCCGGTTCACCATGGTTCACCATGGTTCACCTGAAATCCACTTGATGCCATTTGATTCTGTTGACAATTTTGATGCTATCTGGATGCTCTATGGATGCTATATATGGATGGATTATGGATTTGATGGCAGAATTGTAATCAATTTGGTCCCAGGGGCCCGACAGCAGCGACGAAGAGCTCTATGCCGAGTTGGCCGAAGCTGCGCCTGCGGTGTCCGCGACGTCTGCGTCGCTGCCAGATGTGGAAACGCCACAGGAGCAGCCTGAGGCACCGGGAGATTTCGTTTTTTTCTGCTGAAGATGTGGGGCTTCCCATCCACAACTCTAGCATCTGTTGTTATCTGTTGTTCACAATCTGGTGGAATTACGTGGAACTCTGTTGCGTCGAAGCTGCAGCAAATGTAGGGCATCCGAGCAGCAGAATGTGACTTCACTGCCATGGCCGCCATGGTCGTGGCTGCTGAGCCCTTCAGAGATATCCTTCGGCGCATCTTCACCTTGGCATGGCCCAGCATCCTATCCGAACTCTCTACCCCAATGCTGGGCCTGGTGGACACCATCGTGGTGGGTCATTTCCCCAGCTCTGTGGATTTAGGCGCCTTGGCCCTGGCCATCGCCGCCTACAATCCGCTGATCGTGGTCTTCAACTTTCTGCGGATGGGCTTTGGAGGCGTCATCTCTCAAGCGATGGGTGCAAAGGATGAAGCCGAACTCATGGCCTGTGCGGTGCGGGGAGTGCTGCTGGGCATCTCGGTGGGTTCCTTGCTGTGCATCATCAGGGAGCCTTTGGCCACGCTGATTTTTGGCTATGTGCTGCATGAGCCGAGTCCCGAAACGCTGCAACAAGCGCGGAGCTACTTTCAGGTGCGGATTCTGGGGGCGCCAGCAGCATTGTCCAACTATGTGGTGCAGGCATGGCTGATCAACGTGCAAAGAACGGACCTGGCCTTGGCTGCGAATCTGATTCTGAACCTTTCCAACGCTGCGCTGTGCATTAGTTTTGGCTATGTCTTGGACTATGGCATTGTCGGAGTGGCAACTGCTACCGCTGTGTCTAACTACCTGGCCTTTACCTTTGGCATCATCCAGATTTCACGAGTTTCTCAACAACTGCCGTGGCTGGAGAGTGGAAGGAGGCCTTCATGGTGGCCTTCCATCAATTGGCCCTTGGTTTTCCAGTCCCAGCGGCTCTTGAAACTCGCTTCGTTGAATGGAAATGTGGTGCTGCGGTCCATTTGCATGATGACCATCGTGACGGATTTTACATCCTTGAGTGTCAGGTTGGGAAGTTCGGCCCTGGCAGGTAATAACCTCTTAATGCAGCTGCAGATGATGATCAGCTTTGCGGCAGATGGATTTGCCAATGCCGGAGAGGCATTGATTGGTGAAGCTATTGGACAGGGAGATTCCGGACGAGTTCGATTGATCTTCAAAGGTTTGATGTCTTGGGGCCTGGTGCTGGGTTTCGTCTTCATGCTAATGTTCGTTGCAGGAGGCCATTGCATCCTGACTGCTTTGACATCACATGAAGATGTTGTGAGCTATGCATCGGACTATTTGCCATGGCAATGGGCTGCGCCCATTTTATCCTTCACGGCATATCTGATGGATGGTGTCTTTGTAGGAGCTGCCAAGCCTAGCAACATGCGGGATGCCACCTTCATGGCGCTGGTGGTGTTTTGGACTGTGGGGCACATCAGTGCCGATAACAACGTTCTGTGGGGAGCCTATATGCTCCACTTGATCACCAGAGCAGCTGTTCTGTTGTACTGGTATCCAGCTGTGGAAGATGTGGCAGATGAACGCAACAAATACCGTGAGACGCTGTTGCCCTCTGGATGAAGCTATGGTCCGATGTCCGCAGATCGGCGATGAGTGCAGGAGCGAAAGGACTCACAGGCGCACCACGGGACCGCGGTACTGTAGCTGTCCGCCTTGGCAGAGAAGAAAAGAGTAAGGTACTTGATGTACTTGCTTTAGTGAGGAGATTGCCATGGCTTGTCAATAGCCAGGTATGTTTCGAGATGTTTCAAGGAGGTAGCCTGATCGTCTGCAACCAGATTGTGGCTTTCAGGAAGCGTAGTTCTGGATTCTTGGCTTTCGATGCATAATTTCTGCTGAGCCTTCCACCCCGTCTGAAGAGCATGTCCGATAGATTGGCTGCGACGGAGAGGCCTTTCTTTCGGCAAAACAATGCGCAGAGCGGAGCGGAAAAAATCGGGTGAGCGTAGTGGTGTGCATATTTTGAATGAATCCTTCCATGTTTTTTCGAAGAAAAGTGATTTTCCAACTTGTCAGGAAAAAGAAGAAAGAGATGAGAAACAAGATGATCAAGGAGAAGATCAAAAGGAAGCCCACAACGAACTACTGGAAGTCAAAGAGGAGAGTCCGTCGTCACATCTTTCATCGCTCCCATCCCGGTAGCTGTGCTGTTCAGGAGGACACTTTGGCTCCCAAGGAAGACGATGAGGCAGGGATGGGAGATTTTGAGGCGAAGCAATTTGAGTCACAGTTGGGGTAAGTTGACTTACGTTGCCAGGAACTACTCAGTATACTTAGTATAGCATTGGCAATCCATTGGCATCTTGAATCATCTTGACTGTCAGAGGAATTGGACAGCAGTGACGAGGAGTTCGGAAGCGAAGAGGCACAACAAATAAAGCGAAATGCGTAAATGTCGATATTACTTTGCAACGATGTGGACATAAATCCCAAATAATCCAAATATATCCAAATATCTGATTCATATGATATTCATATGATGTTCTAATGACATTCAAATGATATTCGACATTGGAAAAAACCATCCCAGCCGTCGGCATTTCCACATGTCGCGCCAGGGCCAAGCCGTTGGCATGTTGCGTTCATCGCAGTCCCAGCCGAGTTCAGTGCCCAAGCTGTCCTTGACCGGTTTGAGATCCAGCTTGCAGGCCCGATGGTGCGATACGAAAAATGAAAGGAGAAGAAACGGAAAGAACACGTCAATAGAGGAAATTCATGGAAATTCAATGAAAATCATATATGTATAATATATATGTATAATATATATGTATAATATATATGTATAATATATATGTATAATATACATGTATAATATATATGTATAATATATATGTATAATATATATGTATAATATATATGTATAATATATATATGTATAATATATATGTATAATATATATATATATGTATAATATATATGTATAATATATATATATGTATAATATATATGTATAATATATATGTATAATATATATATGTATAATATATATGTATAATATATATATATATGTATAATATATATGTATAATATATATATGTATAATATATATATATGTATAATATATATAATATATATATATAAATGAATTGATTTTGGCTGACACCCAGATTTGCAGAGCGGAGAGGTGAGACCCGGTGAGATCTCCTGATTTTGTGCAGGGCTCTGCTTTGATGGGCTTGCCTCCTCCAGAAGAGCCAGGTGTGGGACTTGGGAACCACAGATCGGTCATGTCTCAACATGTACTAGGATATCAAAAATTTTGATGGTTGACCGGCATTCTGACCATCAAATAACGATTTTAGGGTATCCTATGTTCACACCCATGTTTTGGATAAAAAGACTGGATAAGACAGTACCAACCACCCTAAGCCACAGATTTTGCCATTTATGTTGGTTTAACAGTTTTATCAGTAGATCATATCTGATTTGCTGAAGGTTCTCAGGTCGCTTGTTTGGATAGCTGATGATAGCTGGGGCTGGGGCCAAGTGGGCACGTTGCATGGTCCAATCGATTTTTGGTTCAAGTACGGCAAACTACTGGGCTGCAAAGTTGTCAGCTGCTCAGCTTGAGAATTTGGGGATCCTCTGGGATACGTATTTTGAGCCATCCAACAGCTTTCAAACGAACCTGGCAAAAACAGTAGTCAGGGAGAAAAGGTGGTTACCCTCTGGTAATTTAACATAACTATGGAAAATCACCATTTTTCATGGGAAAACTCACTATAAATGGCCATTTTCAATAGCAAACTGTTGACATAACCAGAGGGTAAAGTGGGAAACCTGGAGCAACAGAAGCACCAGAAGCCTTCAACCGAAGGTTCGAAGCATGTTCGTGGTGCTGCTAACATTGGCCCTGTGGCCCTGTGACGCCAAAGATGAGAAAGTTGGGATGGTCGTCCGTTCCTCAGCACCTACCAGGGCAGTTTCAGCACAGTGAGATTCATCATGATTGGTTATTAACCATTGGAATAACCATTGGAATAACCATTGGAATAACCATTGGAATATCCCAAAAATCACAGTTTTAGGACACAGCTGATTCATCCGGAAATCATCCGGAAACGCCAAGGATGCACTTTGCAATGCTGTCAAAGTGCCGATGCTCTGTCGCAACCTCAACGCCATCAGCCGAAACAGCAGCCGAAACGGGCCCCATCGCAACGTGAGGCAATGACAAGCAGCAGTTGATTGATGCATGCCAGACGAATCCTCAGTCTTGCTGCAAGGCTGGTCAGACGATTTGGCAAAACAGATTGAAAAAAATGGATTTGTAAATAGGGTAGCCCCAAATCCTGTGGTCTAAGACCTAAAAAAACATACCCTCTGGTAATTTAACATAGCTGTTGAAAATGGCCATTTATAGTGAGTTTTCCCATTAAAAATGGTGATTTTCCATAGTTATGTTAAATTACCAGAGGGTATTTTTCCTCATCTTTTTCCTATTTGGAGGTTTCCAAAGTCATGGGGGGGTACCCGTACCCCCATTCGCAGGAGTCCACCTGTGCTGCCATGCCCGGAATGGGCTGCTGCCATCGCCAGCATGTCTTGGGGCCGTGGGATATTGGACGGAACTTTGCGAAGCTCACAACCCAAAACAGATGCCGGATTGCAATATTTCTATATATTTCTTATAGAAATACGAAAAATAATACATATGTGATAATATATATATATATATATTATATACATATTAGTGTAAATACACATCATTATTGTCATTCTCACATCTAATCTATGTATGCACATATAATACCTATATAATATCTCTAATATCTATATATATAATATAGAAATCTATGTCTGATAGATATCCTGTATCCTTCAGCAGCCATGGCTCCAGCCAGGGAAGCGACGTGGTGATACTCAGTGTGAAGGCGACTCTGTCTTCCCTCCAAAGATTGGTAGCTGTCAATGCCTCTCCGGCTACTGCAATAGTGTGTGGAGCCACAGAAAATCAGAAAATGATGATGATGATGATGATGATGATGATGATTTTCTTTTGGGTCAAAACATGTTAAAATTGGTGGTACCATAGAAAATCCATACCGGTTTGTGTAAAAATGTGCTACCCCCCAAACTTGATGCTTTATCATCATTTTCACCACTATTCACCACTAAACTTCAATCATATTCCATAGCTACCATGGTATGTGGTTCAGGGTTAGCTGCAGCTCTGAGGATGGCAAGTGCTCTGTAACGATGGGCTTCCACGGACAAGCCTCCAGTGGGCCCCAAACTCGGTTCAACGATGAATTTTCCTCGAAGTCTTTGCCAAGTTGAATGGATATCATATGATATCATCACCAATGGATATTATGATATATTATGATGTTATGTGATATTTGTATATGTTTTTTTTTGGATCATGTTTGATCCATTTGATTGTTCTGTGATCCAAGGTACACTGCCTTTGGACGTTCTCCTGGCATGCCATTTTGGTGGCTCTTGTTTTGGGGAAAACTCCGAGAAAGCTCCAAGGGATCCCGCGATTGATGCAATTGCAGGCTTGTACGAAGACTCTGATGAGCCGATTCCTCCAGAGGACGGATGACTCGGATGACAACGAGGGCTGTGATCATCTTTGATCACTTGCCGATGGCATTTTGAAATAAATTTCTTGCTGCTCATAGTATCTCCAACTCTCAATATTCTCAGGCAACTGGCTGGTTGGCTGGTTGGGATGGTGCGAAAGCAAAGTCACAGATTGCCGCAACCAGTAGGCATTTAGGCCCAAGGATTTTATTTTATTGCGCATCCCTTGCGTGAAGCACTGATGAGCTGTTTGAAGCTGTACCTTGTCCATGAAATTAAGAGTTTGTTCCAGCCTCCAGATGATATTAGGATTGGATAATTTTCATTGCTAGTAGATCAAAATATACTTCTTCAAATCAAACATGGATTTCTCATGATTTTGCAACAGTTTGCATAGCTTCACCCCATCAGAACAGTGTGAAATCTGTCGTTGTGTTTGGGCCATTTCAGGTTCTTGGTCTCTGGCTTAGTGGCAGCCGTTTTGCTGCTGACTATCGACGACTTGGAGCAAACAGTAGCTTGGGCTTCAAAGAGTAGAGGTTTTGTATTCTACTATATAATGTTGGCATATATCCTCTGAAGGCCAATGTATTGCCACGTTTATAAAAACTACATTTTATGATATATCTATCTATATATATATATATCTATCTGTATACATTATATGTATATCATAATATGTGTACACCCATGATATCCAATTCTTGTTGGCCAAAGATACCCGAAGCTGAGCCAACCGAAGCCATCTGCGACAGCTTACGCCGTTGGACACGTGGCCAGGTGCGACTTGGAGGCCGCTTCGTGACACGACGAACACGACGACTGGCTGAAAGTGACTTGGAGGGCTCGAAAGATGGGCTGAAGCCGGCTGGGGGAAACATGATGGAAAATGGAAAATGGAAGGACTCTGAATTTGGAAGATTTTATAGTCGTATGTGGAAAGAATATTTTTAAGCTTTGCAACATTAGAAACATCCGAATCACGAGAAGTCAGTCGTAAGGATTGATTTTTTTGGTGCCATCGAGGCAGAGGCAACGAAACTGGCAAGATGGGCCCGATGGGCCAAAGCCATGGTGGCAACGTTTCCAACGTTTCCAATGCAACAGAATCTCCCTGGCCGGAGGCCATCATGGGCATCATGGGCAGCAGGGTGGGGTGAGTTCTGCAGATCCAGATCCTGCAGGACTACTTTCCGGAGATCTTTGCCACTGATTTTAAGACAAGGAATGCTTTGCCTTTCGTCCACTACAATGGATGCACCATGGCTGCGATTCCAAAAATCGGGGATGAAGCCTCGGCAATTTTTACTGGGCCCTGGTTTCTGAGGTCGCCATTGTGCTGAGCACGCGATCCCTGCCTTGTTTGCCTTGTTGGTTTGGACAGTTTGGACAGTTTGGACATCAACACAGCCTGTGTAGATATTCTACACATCTATACACTGTAATACACTGAACTCAAATACGATATCTTGTATACACTGATTTCTCGTCATCACCAGACGTGCAGCCGACGCCAATGTCAGGCTTTCTGCAACTATGCCTCCAACCCGGGGTGTGGTGGCTCTGCCGCTAACGGTGTGGTGACCTTCCGCAACATTCGACATGCACGCGGTTTCTTGGTCGAAGCCCCCAATGGCCATTTTGACAAACCATGATAAACCATGGAGATCCATGGAGTTTAGGGGTATACTTTCAGACGCTGCTTGAGATTCTTCTTGCCTTCACGAATGTCGAAGGTCCAGTTTTCAAGCCTTCGCTCACATTTTTTGTTGATCATCGTAAGCTCAGTTGAAGTTGTCGAAAGCTTGAGATGTCATGCCTTGCCCGTCACCGTTGTCGACAGGTTGCAGGGTGAAACCAGTTCTCTCCATTCCACGCTCGTACATCCGAGACTTGGAGCCTTGGATCGGTCGACATCTGCATGGGGGATTTGCCAAGTGCCAATTTTTCGGGAGGGAAAAATGAGGTTTGAAAACCAAGGGATTTGGGTACCTCATTTCTAGAGAAACCGAGGTTTTTGCATAGGAAAAGCTGGACATCTTGGCAAAAACAGTGTGCGTACAACAGAATCTAAGGATGATCTTCGATCAAAACCAGGCCGGCTGCCACGGTTGTTGTGCAACTGAAAGTTGCAGCTGCCATTTGTATCCATTTAAGAGCACCCCCAAAATGGATAGAAAAGTGTGAAACCTGGAAACCTGTATGACATATCTATTCAATATAGCCTATCACCTGCTATAACATGCTATAACCTTCCTTTTTCTTTTGCGGAGGCACCTACAACATGCTGAAGTCCATGCTTCACAGTGGCTTTTCCACATACCGCTCCCATGGCCACAGTGGACCAGTGCAGCAATGCATCCACCAGTCGTGGGCGGTGAGTGTTCACTGGGTGCATTTGCACAGCTTCTGCACGGGGGCTCGATTTGATGGGATGCCCGGTGGCTCTTCACTTTGTGCCACCATGGACAGCCACGATGCCACTTGGGTTCTGGCTTGGAATGACATCCTGGGGGCACAATGTGAGTCAAAACATTATATAATATAGGTGTGTGTATATGTAATTAATTATATATATATATCTATAATCATAATCATAATCATCATCATCATCATCATCATCATCATCAAACCCTTATTGAAGATCTTCAATGAATGTAGAAGTTTAACGGTGGTTGGACTTTAATATTCCCTAATACCTTTGTTGATCTTCCCAATTGAATGTAAAGTTTAACGGGGGTGGGATTTTAATATCCCTAATACCTTTGTTGATCTTCCCAATTGAATGTAAAGTTTAACGGGGGTGGGTTTTTAATATTCCCTAATACCTTTGTCGATCTTCCCAATGGAATGCAGAGTTGCAACAACATTTGATTGGGAATGGGGACCCTCTGCGCTGCAACGCCTGGGCAATGCCCAGGCGTTGTGCGTATATATACATACATTACATTACATTACATTACGTTACGTTACATTACATTACATTACATACCATACCATACCTACATATCATACGTACATACATACATTACATTACATTTACATTTATATTTACATTTACTTTACATTACATTACATTACATTACATTAATTACATACATTACATACATTACATACATTACATACATTACATACATAAATACATACATGTTTTTTTGCATATTTTTCATACAAAATTTGGGAAGAACATCCAACTATACAGCACCAAGTATTTTGGTGTGAACTACATTGACATAGGACATGATGTGCTTGAAACTTACAGACTTACAGACATGAAAACCTCGTGTCCGCACACCCAGGACGCTGGAAGGATTGCTCGCTCTTGGTCACGCTGATGCAGAGTCCCACGTTGCTCAGCAGCACAAACCGCCCAGGTTCCGATATTTGTTTCGTCTAAAGTTTCTTCCCATGGATCCATCCATTTCTTTTCAGTTCTTTGCCTCGCATGGGTTGCAGACATTCTCCAAACTGAGGCGAAGCGACCTGATTGTCAGATGGGAATTTGTTGCATGACCCTTGGCAAGTGTCTGGATTTGCATCACGATGGCAGTTGCTTCCAATTCGTCAAGCCAGAAGAGAGAGATCTTCCTGTCGCTGCATGAACTGCAAGACTTCGAAAATTGGGCCGTTTTTGGCAGATCAAACTGCCTTGCTACATCTTGGTACTGTAGTAACACTGTAGTACTCCCCAAGTGAACAGGACAGCTGACGCACATCATTGCGGATATGTTCGATCAGAAAATTTCGGATCATCTCCATTTCTCTATATTAACAGGGCATTTAGATGCGCTGAGTATCGTTGTTTTAGTCAGTCGCTGTGGTACATGATACCTTGCGCGAATGGTGTGTGGCACTGGGGGCTGAATTCGCAATGCTCAGTCATGTACCAAGCCAGAGGGGATGAAAAACACCTGCAGCGGCAATGGGTTTTCTACTCCCCCAGAAATTAGATTATATAAATCGTGTAAACATTGGGGATCCCCAATATCCTTTCTTTCAGACACACCCTTTTTGTAGAGACGGGCGCTTGCGAATGATGGTCATTTCTGCGCTATTTTCTTCCATTGAGAATACTACGCAAATCCTACATGTATTGAGCGTCAAACCAGTCTACCCCCATAGCTCGTTATCAGCAATGTTTCAGCGACAGTATCTTGAGTTGAATATATGACCTGAGCCTTTCAGATGTCAAGGTAAACATCTGCATATGTAAATTAAAGGTTAAGTGTATGCACGATGGTTCTCAACATCTGGCTTGGTGCTGCTATTTTCCTGATTGCTTTGGGCAGAGTTTTGAGCACCCAGCATGTGAGCAGCCAGAAATAAAGTCGATCGTCCACAGTGGCCACAGCGTCTCCTTAGCCTTAGCTCACATGTGCTCGCTGTCACTGCTAGAGTAGGGAGAGGTGCTATCAACCTGTGGTGTGGCCGCATGGTCCACAGTAAAATAACTGGTCAGCCCTTCTGGAGCCCAGCAATTTTCCATGATTTTGGGCCAAAAAACACAGTAAAAAACCGAAAGTAACGAGACCAGTTCGGAGAATGATATCAGCTGTAGCTGCGGCCAAGTGACAACACGTCATGCACTTGAAGCGCCGCATGCTCAGCGAATCCATGCGTGCGCTACACGGCAGGATATGCACAGGATGCCGCGTCTTTGCAAAACCTTTGGGTTGCAATAGTTCTGCTAATTGGCCATGCTTGCACCAGCTGAAACCCGGCTGGTGGTATGGGCATTATCCCGCTCGCATGAGTTTCTGTACAGTACAAGAAAGCCAGCTCGCTGGAAGACCATCATTGCACAGACAAAAACATTGACCCATTTGGGTGGTCCAAGCTCTAGTGTGGCTCGGGCTATGTTTCCATCCGGATGAGAGAACGATTTGTTTTGTTTTTTGACTGACACAACCTGGCAAACAAAGATGTGCAAAACGCAAACATCCTCACGTATCCTGAAGGATCACTCTGTGGCTATAGCCTGCTATGCCCTTGCGTTCCTCAGCATGGTCATGGCCAAAGAGGGAGCAGATCACAATGATTGCTGGCTTTGATTATGACCCTGGGTTCCGCTGCGAGCATTCGCATCATTTCGCATCTGAGGTATCTTTGGGCCTGTTTCTGGTCATGAGGATTAGACGTCAGGTGCCAGGCCCAGAGTATGTCGAGAACTCAGTTCTGGTTGCACCAAGTTTCAGCTTTTGATCTTGGCATTGAGACGGACATCCGTGGAATCCTTTTCAGTCAACATGATATGTAGAGTGCTTCCTTTCAAACACTGTTTGCTTCACTTTCCACTTTGCTTTCTTATCGAATTTATCGTTCTTTCAGCTATGGCTTTGTGTGGGACATGTGGTTTTTCCATGTGCAAAAAACCATGGCCTGCCAGGCATCAAGGGAGTTTCTCGTGGATGAGGTGTGGCTTCTGACGGTTGAGAGCTGTTGAGAGCTGTTGAGAGCTGTTGGATGCCCAGGTAGAGGACCAGATCGAGTAAAGTCATGACCCGAGTACCCGAGCTCGAGCTGCCAGTCTGCTTTTTTGGGTGAGATGTTTCTCGCATATGCTGCATATATTTAATTGCTGCAGATGATCGGCCTGCAACAAAACATATTTTGAAGTGCTGCAAGGCAATGTTTGGCAATGTTTGGTATCTAACATCAAAGGCAAAGTAAGCCCGAAAGCTCCTTGAACATCATAGAGGCGCTTTCATATCATGTGCAAGCTCGCCCATCTCAGGCTGCTTGGGGATTGTTTCTGCAAGTGCTGTGTTTGGTCAGTTTCTTTGAAGTCATCACTTTTGTAAACTTTCCCTCCCCCAGCTGTAGGACCGTAGGAAGTCAGAGTGTCTAGACATGCGGAAATGCTGGATCTGGAAATCACACGAAAAAGTATCTGCATAGTCTGCATGGTCAATTTCTTAATTCAGTGCGGTGTTCCTTCAAAACCTCGCAATGTTTGAGGCCACTTGATCGGTGAGTGACAGTAGAGTTGGATGTTGAAAGGAGCGATCAATCGGCGCTGGAAAGTCATTTCTGATTGGAACTCGTTTTGCCAGCGTCGGAATTAGAATCCGTTAATGGGTTTAGAGTTTCACATGTCGAGAGACCCGGTTTTGAGTGGAGAGACCTGGAGGTGAATGGACAGCTTTTTTGGTGCTCTGAAAAATGAATCCAATCCTGAAAATGGTTGGTTACCCAGACATCATTGTTGGTGAAACATGTAGTATACACATGATAATACGGTATAATACGTATGATAATATGTATGAAATTATGATAACATTTATTTCTATTGATGAGATACAGACCCAGCATCCCAGCATTCTTGGCCCTTCCAGTCGAGAGCCTCGTCCGTTCAGCTGCAGGCACCACCCGTTCCCATAAAAACAAATGCCCCTGCGTCAGAAGCACCAGCAGGGGAGGTGAACCATGCCCGTCAACTGGGGAAAGCGACTCGTCGCCTTTCGGTGAACTTGGGGAGACCCCCACAGTGGACACAGTCCGTGGGGGACTTCCCCTGTCTTTTGCGTCGCCAAAAGAAACCGCTACAATCGCTGCAATTCGTCGCGTTGCCCTGTTCTTTCCGTGTTTTGTTCCTGGGATCTTGGGGGTAACTTGAGATCTCAGGATGGCGACACAAGGTGCACTTCCCTGGCCTCAGCTCATTGCCAAAGCAGTGTGCTGGAGCCCAAATTGGAAAAGTGGGAGGCACAACGATGTGAGACGTTTCGACACGACGTCTTTACGAAGACCCGGGAAGACCTTCGAACCAATTCAAGTTGGACCAAGAGATGTAATTAAACTATTCTCCAAAATATTCCAACATGAATTACAATAAACTATAATAAATTAAAACCCAGTTGATATCTAGAATCTAAAGTTCTTGCTGCATTTGCTGTTGTATCCTGCCGTATGGTGTCGTATCCTGTCATGCCTCTGAACTTTTTGAGCTTGTCAATGCGTGAGCGAGCCTGCGAGCCTCTATAAAGAAGAGGTTTGCGTGCTGAAAAACGGGCGACGCGGCCACAAGGGGCAAGTTCCACAAGATGCCTGATGATTGGACGATCATTCTTAAAACCATGGCTTGGTAGACCTCAAACATATACAATACATTACGATACTGCATGTAGTACTATGCAGGCATACACCATATAAAGAACCAAGCATATAAATCTATAAGTCGATATGTCGAATATATAATACAAGCTACGCATACCGTTTGTTTGGACATATCTATGTATCTATCCATGGATATATGTAAAATCATTTATAATTGTACACCTAGCACTACCCGGAAGTAGAACTGCCTTGTGACTTTTCCTCCAGGTTCTGATCAGATGACACCTTCAGCGTCACCGTGAAAGCCTCAGCCGTAGGAAGAGACTGGGCGGATTTCAGGGAACATCTGCAGGAATTAAGGGTTTAACCATGTTTTACCATCCAGCTTTGTTTATTTTGTAGCTATTCTCTCAGATCTATGATCAAATCAATTCTGGAACTCAAGACATTGCAGATAAAATACCGAAAATGGAAGGAAGCGCTTCAGATAGCAACAAGAAGCATCCGGAAACAACACTCCACAATGCTGAGGAGTAGCAAACGAAGTTGGAAAAACAGGGAATGGTGCCAGGTTAAACAGGAAGGCACACAGGAAGATGTTCAAAGCCAGATCGAACCAAGACGACCTCAACCGGGGAGGGGCCAACACAAGAGAAACACCCCTGGCTCATTCCCGGCACAAATCAAACCAATAGCCATTGAGACATATCGATATTGAGATATCGTGACTTGAGTTGATACAGCTTTCATTTTCTACATCAGGGCATCAGTTGAGCATCGACCTGCAGTCAAATCCCAAGGCTGAGAGCAGAGCCGCCCCCACAGGCAGGGAAGCAGCTGGGCGCTGCTTGGCATCTGGGAGATGAGTTGCCAGGTCAATGACCTCTGCTCGGGTGTCATCCATCAGAATGTCACTTGGCTTTGAATTTGGATCCATTTTATATATTTTCAAATGCAATGTTTGAATGTTTGAATGACTTGGGTCCAGAAGCCCAAAGGCTTAGCATTTTTTTTGCAGTTGGATGTTCATCGAAGGTTTTCCTGCGTTGGTGCTGTTGTAGGAGAGTCTTTGGGATTGTTTTTTGCTCCTTGATATCCTGACCGAAGCCAGGGCACCCAGGGTCCTTTGGGCTCCAGCGGCTCCAAGTCATTCGTGGAGTGCACCTTTCGCTACGCAGCCATGGTTCAGAAGGCTCTGAAATTAAACCAAAACAAACAGGGCAAGGCTACGCAGAAGCACAAGGCGCCCAAAGTCTCCAAAGTGGACATCCTGAAGAAAAAGAAGAAGAAGGATTCCAGCTCCGCTGACACTGTGGGAGCTGCCACCAATGCTTTCATCAAGAAATGTGGTCAGAAGACGGAGGCGAATGTGGCCGCGAAGGCTGCAGTGGAAGGCAATGCCAATTTGGAATATGTGAAAGTCACTCCACAGCAGATCGCCAAGGCGGAGAAGAAGATCGGAGCCCGACAAAACAAAAAGCAAAAGAAACGATGACTGGCTCAAAGGCGATTTGGCCCACAGCTGGCACAGCTCTAAGCACTTTGGCAAGCCTTGGAGCTGGTTTCACCCATGCGTCAAAAAGCATTTGTGGCATTTGCCTTGTCAAGAGCTTCACTTGGCAAATTGCGCCCCTGTTTCCTGAGCCATTTGAGGTATGTTGAAGCCTAAGGGTCACTCTGCGCCTAGGTCTTCTACTTTGAAGGGCGCCAACGTCGTCGCATCTACCAGGAGAGAAAGCAATAGAAGCAGTTTCAATTTGCCCAACGAGTTCTTGTGCAATTCCTGCACTATGTCAATTGCATTATATAATTTGCCAGTGTTGCCAGTTGCCACATTCCTCATTCTGCCTGAGGATCTGGAACTACATGCCTCAGTACTGACGCTAATATTGACTCTGCTACTCACACCGTCCGGGGCCACAGGCCACAGCAGGACACAGGAGGCCACAGGCCGCAGCTCCATCAGCATTCCTGGCTGTTGCTGGTGGCTTAGGCGGGGTCTCTTGGACCCCAACTACTGTGATCCCTATCCATCTCACAAGCCTGCGACTCAGGGAGGGCAAGACAATGAAAGACAAGTTTCAAATAGTCTCAAGTCACTTTTGCAGGTAGTGTCATGTCTCTTCTCCCAGACCTATCGATCCATTTCGCTGCCTTTGGTTTCATGGGTAGCTAGTTTATGATGATGACGTTGACGTTGACGTTGACGTTGACGTTGACGTTGACGTTGACGTTGACGTTGACGTTGACGATGATGATGATGATGATGATGATGATGATGATGATGATGATGATGATGATGATGATGATGATGATGATGACGTTGACGTTGACGTTGTTGTTGTTGATGATGATGATGATGATGATGATGATGATGCTGGTGATGATGATGATAATGATGATGATGATGATGATGATGATGCTGACGATGACGACGACGACGACGACGATGATGATGATGATGATGGATGAAAGGTGAAAGGTGAAGATGAAATATGAGAAATCCCCTGAACAAATGCATCTTTTTGCAAGGCATCGACGCAACATCCCCTTCCTGCTGAGCAAGCATTTGAACCACAGCGCCAACAGGCCCTGGAAGCCGTTTGCGTTGAAGAAGAACAGACAAGAACTATTCAACATTTATCCTATTTTATTCCCTACATTTTTCAGATTATCATGAGATTCATTTGTTGCTGCGGTTTAGTCCAATGTCCCCCGTGTCTGGTTCCTCTGGTTCCTCAATCAGCTCAAGCCACAGAGCACTGGTCGACTCGCGAAAGTGGGCTGGGTCCCGTGGGTCCCGTGGGTCGTGGCGGGATGTATGGCCTTCGGAGTATCAACAACATGTATTCTGAGCATGCAGGGAAACGCCCGGATCTCAGATGTCACAAGTGTCACAAGTGTCACAAGTTGTTGTGATAGGATGTGGAAGGCTTGTGGCCGGTCAGGCCTTACATGTTTGAATTTGGGATGCAGATTGGCCCGAGGTAGTGACTTTATTATTGTTGGCCACCCTGAGTTTCAAATGGGCAAGGTGCAAGCGGCAGATGCGGGAAGACTTTGGGATTTGGTGCAACTCATGAACCATTTGGATGGTGAAGTGTCAGTATTTAGTTATTTTATGTTTTCCTTCTGTTGACATAGTGACATAGTGGATGTGGAAGCAAAGATGTACCTTCCAACCCCTTATCAAAGCTGAGCAGTGAATGGGACTGGGACTCTGCAAGGTGCACAGCAGCACGAGGCGATTCCCTGCATGGGACATGAGGCGGGACCAGCACCTTGCAGCACTGGACTCTTTGATAAATCCCAGGTGATGGATTCTGATGGATGTGATGGGAATTTCCCGCCAGAAAAAAAAACTGTGAATTTGGAATGACCTATTGAAATGCCATGACCATCATGGAACATCATGGACCATCATGGAACCTGGTGCTGAACTGACCGGTGGGAGGCCTGTGCCCAGCAAACCGGGCAAGAGCATGGCGAAGAATCGGTGATTTGGCAGCCACATTTCGAGAAAAACCCAAGGGCTCATCCCATTTTTCAAGCTTCATCAGCTTCATCCAATCTTTCCTAGTTGATAGTTGATATTATCATATAGTCATATAGTCCCAATATTTCCTAGTTGATCATGTTGATAGTTCATATATGTTGATATATTACTTGGTGGCTCATCCCACGAATCGTAAGTGGCTTAGTTCACCCCATAAGTGGATTAACCCTACAAACATCCCATGTAAATCTGTAAATCACTGGGGTTATAACATGTTATAACCCACTTACGATTCGTGGGATGAGCCACCAAGTACCATCCAAGGTCACCGTATAACCATCCGAGGTCCGTGCCAGCCTTGGTACGCCAGCTCAGCGCGCCGATGCCCAGGTGATGTCGGGTGCTGGTTTGGGGGACTTTTAACGGTGCTGGGGTTATCCAAAAATGATGGTGGTTTAATGGTGGTTTAATGGTGGTTTAATGGGATTTAATGGTGATTACCCTCTGGTAATTTGTTACAGTTTGCTATTGAAAATGGCCAGTGATAGTGGATTTTCCTGTTGATTTTCCCAGCTATAAGCATGGTGATTTTCCATTGCTATGTTTGTTTACCAGAGGGTAAATGATCCAAAATGGGGATTGACATGGATTTAAGTACCAGTAGGGGAGAATCTGAGAATGGGAGCCTCTTATTTATCTTATTTCTTTGGGCCATCTGGTCATCACAGACTAAGACTATGAAAGGTTATACTATCGGGTTTCATGAGGACTATGGCAACTCTGTCAACGATCACTGAGGATCCAGGACCCGTGGGCAACTTGAAAGCAAGAGCGCTGGAGCCCTGGACCGTGCACAAATGTGATGATTGTACATATATACCATCTGGTTATTTAACATAGCCATGGAAAATCCCTTATAAATGGAGGTTTTAATGGGAAAATCATCTATAAATGGGCCATTTTCCATGGCTATGTTAAATAGCCAGAGGGTATATATAGGTGTATGTAGGATTGTGAGGTCTTGGGACCTTTCTTAAGCTCACTTAAGGCCTATCATGTTAACCAAACTTCCCAAAATTTGGGAAACCTTTCATGATTTATAATGATGTCCTCTCCTTTAGACATACACATTCCAGCTTTCCTTTAGACGGAGCTTTCAAAAGGCTGACTTCCTCTCCATTTCCCCAAACTTCCTCTGGGTATCTCTGGGTGTCCTTTTTTGGAGCTGTACCAAAACCCGCTCCGGCGAGGTTGCAGAAGCACAGCTCAAAGTTAGAGGTGCCCAAGATGTGGGCCCAATGGCTGCACCGCTGTTGATTCGTGAGGGCTGAGTTGATAATCCCCAATGAGGGCTCAGCAATCAGACATGATCACCAATAAGTGCTTCAGTTGGGATACTTACCATGGATATCCATGGATAATTCTTGGTTATACGATGTTATGCCACCATGATGGTCCAGTTGACTTCTTGATGTCCTCAGAATGGCGCAACTCGTCCTGACCAGGTGCTTCCCGCCAGCCCTCGAGGAACCCTGGTGGGGAGCTTCGAGGCCTTCGAAAAAGCCATGTACGACATGGCTGCCCATGAACAGGCCCTTGGGATCCCTTGGGAGCGATGCAGCCATCGGAACGTACGTAGCGTTTTTTGGGGTCGATCAACCGAAGCCTTGCTGCAATAGGATGCCAAATATGCACGGGAGCAGCGCATGCGTACCGCAGCCAGTGGCATGCTCAGAGGATTAAGATTCTTCATTGCCTGAATCATGAACATTGGGGATTCTGACAGACGTTTGATTTTTTATGATAATCCTGTGACCGAAATATTGGTAATCATGTGCAACCATCTATACAATACCTCTTCTACCCCCACATCTGGAAAAAAACAGTTTGCTGACTTAGAGGAATACATCCAACAAGTCGATCAATCACTAGAAATGCTACACCCCATATATATATATACACATAATGTATATAATATTGTATATATTATGTTATAGATATTCATCAACCATGGGTATGTTTTTCATCCTGGATTAAGCCCACGATTGGCTTTTACCAAGCCTGGTTTCCAGTCGTGGTGCCAGCTGCCCAGGTTATGCCTCCAACAAGAGCCACTCGGCCACGTGCCGAAACTTCGCCTCGCTTCATCGAGAGCTGAATGATTTGCGAGACAAGATGGAGGTGGAGCCGGTGGAGCGGAATGAAAAACAAAAAAAAGGGTGAAAAACAATACATGGCTATGGATCAATACCTATACATACCATTTGTAGGGGGATGAACATCCATAAATCCCAGCAAATTATCTATATATCTGGGCAAAATAAATATATGTATGTATATATATATATATGGGCAAATTATAACGACCTCACTGCGACCTCACTGGAATAATGGTTAGTAAGGGAAATCATCCCCTGTGTGGGCCTTAATTCAGGTGAGTGACATATTATAATTTACCCAGATACATGAAGCCATGAAGCTTCTGAAACCCTGAGGAAACTCAAAGCTTGGCTTGGAATATGTTGGAATCAGAAAATTGATGGTCAATTTCTGTAAGGGTCTCCTTTTGGGAATTTCCGGGTTTTGCTTCGCAGATGGAGCCGGAGAAAACGCGGGAGGCGCTGCAGTCGTTGCTGCCCCAGTGCGTTTTCTCAGCGTTTTTTGCCCGGCAGCGGTCTGCCGCTGAGGACATCGGCCTGGAAGTACTATGCCAAACACCTTGAGCAGGTGGGAGAAAGTGGTGGGCAGGGAAGCCTCCTTGAGAATGAGGAAGCCCTTGGTTTGGTTATCTTGGTTAGAAGTTAAAAAACCTCATTTTCTCATTCAATGGACATTTTATGGGTATATCATCATCCCATATGGTTGTTGTTGGTGACATCCCCTGAGATCTATAATCTTCGCTAGTTTTTTCTAGTTCAATCCCAAGGTTTTCCATGATTTTATCAGTTTTTTCATGATTTTTTCCAAAATTTTGGTCAGATGTTTCCCCATGTTTCCCAGGGATGGGAATGATGGGGCCACGATTTCTGCAGGCTCTACAACTGGAGATGGATCTCAGACGGCAGCGACACCAGCTGGCTCCATTGGAAGGGATCTCAGTGTCCACCACGGGTTTCAATATGTTTCAATACTCCGGAATACTCCAATATTAGATAGCAGAAGTTTGGATGATTTGGGGTTACTCTATTTTAGGAACTCCCAATATATATATAATATATATATAATAATATATATATATCTATACATCTATACATATATGTATATATATGTATATATATATATATATGATAGCCTCCTTATCCATGAGGCCCAGCACATTCCAGGGATGCCCTTTCGGAATTTTCCCCCGAGGTGAAAGGCCTGGCTGAGTGAGTTACATTGGTGGCGCCATCGAAAGTCATGTGGCACGAGTTTCTTTGTGGCTTGAGAACATGATGGAAATGGTGGTTTAATGGTGGTTTAATGGTGGTTTAATGGTGGTTTAATGGGATTTAATGGTGATTACCCTCTGGTTATGTCAAAATAGCTATTGAAAATGGCCATAGAAATAGTGGATTTTCCCATTAAAAATGGTGATTTTCCATAGTTATGTTAAATTACCAGAGGGTACTTCCAGAAGGCAGCATCAGTGATGGGCCCCTATCAGCAAAAAAACATCGTTTTTTCAGCCCATATACTGAAACTGGTCATAAGTGGTTGATAGAATACATATGTATGTTGGATTATTGATTCTGAACTGTTTAGTGAGGGTATACATTAACAATTGTCAACTATGAATTATAAATTCTAACTAGTGCACAACAAATTATGGATAGCATCGGATTGTAAACAAGTTATCTATCATAATTATAGCACTTATGATTATCTCGCATTATCCTCTTCGATCGTGATGGGATGAGCAGCTCATGATGCCCCTGCCATCCCACTGGAGGGGCTAGGCCCCTAGGCTTTCACGCTGGACCAGGCAGCGACTGCTCCAAAGGAGCGACTGCGTCCCATGGTGAATCAAAAGAGACCCGGGGCGCGACTGGACTGGCGCCGTCGGGCCGTGGTTGAGATGGCTATGGCGGCTATGGCTCAGAAAAGATGGGGTACCAACAGCATCTAATCCCCTAAAAATGAAGGCTCTTTTTTTTGTATCTAATCATTTCTTTGGGGGGTTTACGATGTTGTATTCTAATCATTTGATGATGAAACTATGGATGGTTGCGATGACCCCTGCAATTCATTCCCTGGTGCAGGGCGGTGCTACCGTGGGTCTTCCAGCAGGCTTTGATCGGTGTTACCAGTCAAGCCCATTAGTACTGGAACTTCAAGAATTTCTCAGGACACACGTCGATGTATTTTAAGCGAATGGCCGCCATGATCATGATCATGATGACGATGACAATGACGATGACGATGATTGATAGCACTTAGAAGTTGCTCACAAAACGCAAATGGGTATGGGTCAATACCTATAGATACATTTTTAGTGGGATGAACATCCATTTACTAGCTATTTTGGGGTTCACCAGGGGTACCAGGGTTTTGACCCATCCCCAAATGGCAGGTGGATCAAATTGATCGTATTGGAGAGCTGCGTTTGCTGAAACTGCTGGTTGAGACGGCCATGCATCGATGGATGTGACCTGCATTTTTTGAAGAAATCTGTGGGAATCTTCATTCGGGTGTGTCCAAAAATACGGGACACAATGGCAATCTTTTAAGGGAAACATGACGATTAACCATCAACTTTGAGGGCACCCAATTTTCAGACAAACGCATTAATTTCGCGAGAGTGTGTACCTTCTTCACTATTTTACTGTTTCGTGCGCCAGAGATGTTGGAAGGGTTTCTGTTTCGTGGCAGGTACACCAGCATGCGGATGATTGGTGCAGGGCAATTTGGCACTGCCGGGCTTCCCAGCTTGCAGCTTGCATCGGTGGCGTCCCATGCTGCCAGTTGTGTCAGGTGATGCAGAGCAGTGTGACCGTTGGGTCTGGCCAGTTGCAGGCGCCGTACGCGCCGTTCCCAGTGGGAAGTTGGATGGGACGCATGGGATGCGGCTGCGACAGCTGCGACAGGTGGCCATCAAACACATCCCGAAGCAGACCAACATTCAGGAGATGTCCAAGTTTCGTTATGTGTTTCGAAGCTGAGCGGATGCAAAATATGTCATTCAGCGAGAGTTGAATTGACGTTTATGAATGTTGAGAGATCTATGTATGAAGAATATATATATATGTATATTAATATATATATACTGTATATTAATATATGACATTTGATATTTTAGAGATCCGTTCGGGATAAACCCATTCCTACTTCGCGAGGATCGATGTGTTTTGGTTGACGTCTTCACAGAGATCAGCTGTTTGGACACGATCCGCTTCGAGGACGTTGTTCAGCCGTGGTCTGGGGGGATCTCCCAGCACCGGCTGAAATCATTTTAAGCAGACCATCAATGACAACAGAAACCGGAAGAAATTATGGTTCTAGCAAGCGTTTTCTCATGTTTTCTATTGTGATCTATTGTGTTTTCTATGATATCTCAAAGCAAACCAGGAAAACCTGTGTCATATCTATGACTTTGGAGTGGAAGAGTCCTGCTATTGGATCGTCATGAAGTGCGACATCTCCAATTGCACAGCATATCCTTAAGGCTCCGCTTCTCAAGTGAAGTGGCGATTCAGGTACTACTCCACAACTCTCAAGAAGTGGCGATCGTCACTGGGGTCCGGAGCCCCTGGCACCGGCACAGCATGGCACACTCCGAGAATTTCACCCTAGTTCAACCATGGAACCAACTGTTCAACCTGGTTCCTAAGGAAGATGACGGAGCATTTGCCAGTGTTATTGGCGGTCTTCAAACAGATTCTGAAGGCCATGCATTTTCTGATGCTCCCCACTGCCAGTCATTTCTTCCTCAGGGCGTGGCAGTACTCCACCAGAATGACATCATTCACTACGATCTGAAGTGCGACAATGTGATGGTTGAGGTGAACAAGAAGTGCCTGGGATTGGATGCTCCTTGCTGCTTTGATATTTTGGCATGTAAAACATGGTGCAATTTTCGTTGAAAGTTCCAACCGTTTTTCAACACCTCTGTCATGCCAGACTTGCCAAGGCCAGCTCCTTCGGGCTATTCCTCTGGGTTTGCCAGCGAGACTTGGAAGAAGTTTTTATGCTTTTCATCTTTTTTCAGCCTATTTTGCATTTGTTTAAGCAGAAAACAGTTGGGAATCCCCTGCTTAGGATGAGATGTCTCCGCCAGCAGATGATGATGGCAGTGGAGCCCCCAGCAATTTTCGTAGGTGTTGTCCCGTCATCAAACTGACGCAAGGTGATGTGCCCCGAGTGGCCCTTGGTGATTTCGGCGAGTCGCGAATGATGGAGGCGCGGCAATCACCAGCTACATTGAGCAACCAATGGAACATCAATATCTATATATATAATAGTTATAGAATATCTATAGAATATGGTGGATCAATATCTCAAAATATCTCTGCAATGATAGATATGTTGATAATTTTCGATAGATATCAAGCACTTTTTTTGATAAATCTGATAGATCAGTGCCACAATGCCACAGTGAAAAATCCGCCAGAACTCCCAAGAGCTGGACATGCGGAATCGAGGCACCGAAATCATCAAGGTGCGCGAAAAAAGAGCCATGGAATGGTGGAAAAAACCCGAGGGAAACCAGTTTTGGAATATGTTTCCATGATATTTTGAGATATTTTGATCCATAAGATGGTCCTGCATTTTTAAGGATCGTTCTGCAAGGTTTTCCCGGAAAAAGTGTCAGTGTAGGAGCTCATGATAACATTTTGGTGGGCGCTGGGAGCTATGGATGGAATGGGCGTTCTATCCACCCTTGAAAGGATCTCCGGTGCAGAAAAGTCTCGGACGTTGTGGGTGAATGCCCATGCTTGTCTGAAGACACTGTACCCGAAAACGGATGAACATGGACCTGGATTAATTATCACATTTGTTCCAAATTTTTCCCGTATCAAAACGGCCCCTTTCGGGTAAACTCAATTTCTGGACAAACCCGATGATATTGCTTCTGATATATCTCCATCGTATCCCAGAAACTCTGGTTGATATATTATTACATATTTATGCCGTATTATATAATTTATGTACAGCCATTACTGCCCTTACTTTCGTGATGTTGATAACTCTGCAAGTAAAGCCTGTTACCCATTTGTGCGATTCAACTCAACATCTGCAGCTGATTCAATATATTCAATCTACATGTGTCCATATGTGTCCTAGTTAAAACATGTTAAAACCCATTCAAAAACCATGATTTTTTCTAGCTTTCAATGTTTTCAATCTCATAAAGTCTTCATTTTTCCTAGTTGAATCCCATAAAATCCTAGTGAAATCCAATGTTTTCCCAGTCAAATCCTGCAACGGATGGCTTTTGTCTCCGAGTCTCCGAGGGCCCCGAGATGCTGGAGCTGGACTTTGTGAGTCGTCGAGACTCCAAAGTCCACGATCGACGGAAACGGGTTGGGACCAGCAAGGCCCGGGGAAGCGGCGAAGCGGCGAAGCGGCGAAGCGGCGAAGCGAAACCCCGTTGTGATTGGGGAGATATATGGCATATATGGGGATATAATAAGGATGGGTATACTGGTATACTGAGATAGAATGGATATGAACGGATCCATAGAATTCCATACTGATTGAAACAACAAAAAATCATCTAAACATATTTAGACGTCCACTCGTGAGTTGATTTAAGTTGAAGTTTTCAATATCAACACAGATCCACATCATCGCTTAAAAAGTGCTCCGAGATTTGTTCGACCGAGGCTGCAGACATTTGGTCCTTGGGCTGCATCTTCTTTGAGCTGCTCACGGGGCGTTTCCTCTTCGAGGCGCCAGTTACAGGAAAATCGTTGCGAATATGATGGAAATTCACGGACATTACTCGAAAATGATGGAACATGTTATTGACTGTTATTGACTCTGCTTTTGGAGTCTGCAATTTATGACATTTTGATGTGTGCCATCGTACATGTACCTCACGGATCCTGACGTATAGTGGCTGAACTTCCAGCTGTAGGACTACGACATTGCCTCGCACTGGGCTTGTGCGACTGGGAAATCTGGAGATGTGGTGAACGAGGAGAACGAGAAACGCCTCGATCACAACGGTCCTCTTTTGGAGTACTTGAGGCCGTGAAAAAAAAAACTACGTTGCTCAGAAAGGGGGAATTTCTGGGAAACGTTGCAGGTTTCTCCTGGTGCGGGATGCCGACAGAAGACCAACCATCCAAATGGCAATCAAAAAGTCGGCGCCACGGTGCAGCTACAACAGCTACAGCAGCTACGCTGCACATTGAGCTGAGGTTTGAGAGCACAACGATGGAGGTCTTAGGAAATGCTTCAGGTGCTCAGGTGGGATGCATGCTGAATGCTGTTGCGATTCAGGTAGGTAACTTCCGGTACAGTTCTTGCGCCCCAACATTCCCTCATTCAATGATCATCTATTGCTTTGTTGCAGCGCGTACATTTTTTACAAACCAATTCACAAGTCACCAAAAAAAAGCAGCCAATTGTAACCCCAAATAGACAGTTGTTTGAGTTTGCATGTTACTCAAGTGCTATAGGGATACTGTGTCTTTGTGTATTAATAGATAGATCCCCAAATAAATAGTTTCAATATCAATAAATAGATGTAAATAGATAGTTTATGTTGATCTATATATTGATGTATTAGTGTAGATAGTTTCATATCAATTAGATTCTTGGTATTACCCTCTGGAAAATGTTTCAACTAATCTTCCAACCCCTATCTGCCAGGGTCGAACCTCGGATGCCAGGTCACTAGCAGCAGTGCGCTCACTAGGGCATCAGGTGCGATGACTGGATTTGGTGTGACCATAGATACAGTATGTATAGATATCTTTGATATCTTTGATATCTATCTATCTATCTATTTATCTATCTATCTATCTATCTATTTATCTATCTATCTATCCATTTATCTATTTATCTATCTATCTATCTATTTATCTATTTATCTATCTATCTATCTGTCTATCTATCTATCTATCTATCTATCTATCTATCTATCTATCTCTCTCTATCTCTATCTATATATGTATATGTATACGTATACGTATATGTATCTGTATATGTATATGTATATGTATATGTATATGCCTACGGGTTGAAAACCGTCCGAGCGTTTTAGGCATTTTTTTATATGTTCCTTGGGGTGGGGTGGGGTGGGGTAATAACGTTCACGTACTTGCGCACTCCCATGATGTTACGCCACGGCACGTTCACTTGCACGTGCGCACATTCGTCATGCTACGTTGAAGATGTGTCACGTCACGCAGGGGTGGGGTGGGGTGGGGTGGGGCAATAACGTTCACGTACTTGCGCACTCCCATCGACTCGTGCTGGCGCATGATCAAAGCCAGAGTTCCCGATCAGTTGACATCTTGCCCAGAAAACGAACAAAAATTGAATGACCACATTTGGACGTACGTTAGCACATGGCAGTGGCGATGGGAGGCAAATGTAGTTGGAAAAGCCCTGTTGGAGAAAACAGGTGCGTACTTAGCGAAGATGTAGAGATCACCGGAAAAAATGGCTGTCACTGAGGTTTTGGGCACGCTGACTTCCCAAAAGGAACCATTTTCGCACTCCGACATGTCAACTATATACAGTAAATCCCAATGAAAATTCAAAATCACAATAGAATTGACCTTCATGGACAACATAAAATCATGAAAAAACATTGCGAAACGCATGATTGACTTCTTGCCAGTCACATGAGAATGCTGTTTTTACTCGGCCCATTTCCAACCCGGCGGGATGTATATGTATATGTATATGCATATGTATATGTATATGTATATGTGTATGTATATGTATATGTATATGTATATGTATATGTATATGTACTGTATATGAGTTTTTTTTTGCCCTATTATGTATATATAAATATATATGTATATATATATATATATGTGTAAATATATATGTATTCATTTTCTAGCGCCCCAAAAACCTACCATTTGCATCCATTTGCCACTTTGTAGCCGCTGACTTGGGACATGAATTGTGTTTGAGTAACTGTCCCAACACTTGTTTTAGGTGCCAGATCTCTGAGAGGCACGCAACTGTTGTTACTCTACATTTTGCATATGAATATCAACAGGTGGGGGGGGGTTGGGGGTGGGGGGGTGGGCTAATAACGTCCTTTGCTGTACTTTCTCGTGCACTTGCACACATACGTCATGCGACGCTGCTGTATGTTCTCTTGGACTTACACACATACGTCATGCGACGCTTCTGTCTGCTTCGCTCTCTTGCACTTGCACACACACACACACGTCATGCTACGCTGCTGTCTGTTCTCTTGCACTTACACGTTGGTGGTGAGGACGGCGATGAAAATGAAGACGAAACTGAAGATGAAGATAATGAAGATGAAGATGAAGATGATGATTATGATGATGATGATGATGATGGTGATGATGATGATCATGTTGATGAAACCAACGTTTCGTTTTTGGTCCCTTTCAATTCCCCCTATAAAATGTTTGAAAAGCGACAACAGTCACGAGCCTCTCCCAGACCCGGCACCTTGTTTTAGTAACTGTCCGAACAAATAGGAAGTACTTGAAACGAAACATAGTAACGTAGGCAAACAAGGTGTGCGCATATGCTTTATGCAATCTTTTTTTTTGGAAAGTACAACATTCCTTTGAGCAAAGTCTGATTTCACTTGTGCATATCTATCTTCAAAACGAATGCAGTAGTAGTTTTTTTTTTTTAAAGACGTTCTTCAACATGTGCAAAACATATTTGAGAAAAGGTAGACCAGAGTCAATATAGCATCGTTTCAACATCTTCAAAGAGCGCAGCATATCTTAAAAAGAAGTGCAATGTTGTTCTTTGCACAGATCTTCAACATGTGCAAAAAACATATGCTAACCAGAGGAACATCATGTAAATCATTCCATTGCAATAACATTGGACTATTCCAACTATCACAGAGTGCAGCTGACTTCTTTAACATGCGGAACATTTCTTTCAAAGAGGGTACACCATCTATGCATTTCAGAATATCAAACAGAATCTCTTGTATGCTGTACCGTCTTTTGAAAGCAGTACGATCTTCCTTGAAGAGCATGTCGTTCAAGTGTCTGCAGCAGTGGCAAACAGGTGCATAATCTGTTGAAAAAAGTGCAAAACCCTTTTAGGGCAATGGCACGTTGATTCAAAACAGAATCCTTTTATGTATGCTGTATGTATGCAGTTTCTTTGAGCATGAGTGATACATATCACGGAATATTCCCTTCCACATGAGTAGAACATTTGATTGACACGTGTGCATACCAATGCCTTTTAGGAAATGAGGTATTTACCTTTAACCCTATGTTTTTCAAGAAAGGAGTGCGTATGTTGCAAGAATCCTGCTTGTGGACAAAAAATTGCAGTCTGTAAGCAAAACCACTTCAAAAAAGGAAAATGGTTCTTTGTCAAGGAATGCTACATTTGTGCTTGTGGATACTGCATTTTGTGACAGGAATTGAAAATGTGAAACGCACACTGCGTATTATATAGGAGTATTGGCCCCCAAACCGACCTTTCTTTATTTTGTGGTGTGCCTTATAGTTTTTTTGACATATTTGGAATGCATTTTTCTTAATAGTACTTTTTCAATCATTTTCATTGGTCGGGAGGGAGTATGTACATGGCATATATCATGCACATATGTATATGATGTGAACCCTGCAGAATACTAACATTCTCCTTCGGTCCTTACAACATAATATCACACACACACACACACCCGACAAATAAACAAATAAGACGCTCCAAGAAAAGAAAAACAAACCACTTTTTGTTTTCATCAAATACCAAAATTTGATGGGTTTCTCTGCCTTTTTATTGAACACCAAAAAACTAGTGAAAAACCAAAGAACAAAAAGCAAACAGAATCCCTGGCAGAAGTCAAAAGTTTTGATTTATGCAGGTCAAGCATGGTAAAGCTGTTTTTCCTAACGCACATTTTTTCGACTTTTCTTTGGTATTTTCATGAACAACCCAAATTGCAGAAATATATCACCATAGTGTACAGCCAGGTGAGCCCAATGCATTCCTGCGCCACTCTGTTTTTGGCTCAAGTGAAAAGGCGCTCCGTAGCGCTCAGGTTTGTGAGTAAATAGTTTTGCATCGTAGCGAGAGAGGTTCGAGACAGGGATTCGAGTGATATAACCGAAACTTCTGATTTCGGAGGTGGTGAGGAGCCGGTGGCTCCTGGGCCCATTGTAGGGGCCGGCCGTTGGTGAATCCAACTCCAGAACGGTTGGAACGAGCTCAACGGGAGTTTGAGCAGGAGGAAGCCCTTAGACGAAGACGTAGAGAGGCCGGAGACAAAGCGGCCAGGGAAGAAAGAAAGGAGAGGGGAACCCGCGAGGAAAAGGCTGATCGGTCAGGCAAGAAACCAAAGACCGAAGCTGCACCAGAACCGTTCTGACGAGACCAGCGGCTGCCGCACCATCGGTTGAACCCAAGGCCAAGCCGAAGAAAGAACATCCATCAGATAGTGAGTACACGTACACGGACACTTACGTGTGGGAATCTGAGGAAGAAGAAGAAGAAGGGAGCAAGACACCATTGTAGATTACTTCTGATGGATCCTGCAGCGCAAACGGCGCTGCAAGAGCTTCACGCTCAGGTACAGCAGCTTCAAGCTGAAAATGTTTCACTCAAAACAGGGCAGCAATCCCTGCAGCAGGAAGATGAAGCGCTCAGGGCGCAGCAGACTGGGGTTGCAGAGATGGCCAAATCTCTTGGGGACTTGGTTAGATCCTTGGAAAGCAAAAGTGAAAGAAAAGATCGTAGGTTGTTGGTGGATACTAAGGGTTTAGGAAAACCAGAAACCTTCAACAACGATGAACAAAGTTTCCGTAGATGGGCTAGGACGGTTTGCAACCTTACAGTTGGACCTGAGGATTATGGATTATTGTTTAGACCTTGAGGATGCGGTTGATTTCACCTCCCTAGAAACCAAGTGTGGGGATGATTTGGATCCAGATGGAATCCCAGGGTTGGATGACAAGTGCGACCAGCTCTACCGAGTGCTTAGCTCGTTGACCACAGGTGAATCCGAAGACCTTGTGGGCAGGTGCGCCAACTTGGCAGCTTCTGGATTTGAAGCTTGGCAGCGGTTGAAGCGCCGATGGGACCCGGTTACAGCGGGTCGGAAGAGGAACATCTTTAGGGCAATGCTCAATCCAGAGCGCACCAAAACATGGGAAGGAGTTAGGCCGGCAGTTGAACAACTTAATGGTTTGATCCGGAGGTATGAGGCCCGAAAGAATGAAAACGACTCTTGGAGATGACATCGAATGCTTTGCAGCTTGGCTGGGTTCCTTGGTGAAAGGGAAAGGAAAAGGCAAAGGAGGTAAGGGTAATAAAGGTGGTAAGAGCAATGACAAAGACATGACGTGTTACAACTATGGTAAGCAGGGACATAAGGCAGCAGATTGTTGGAGTAAGAAAAAAGAGGGTTCTAAAGGCTCAAAAGACGGAAAAGGAAAGAAAGGCTCAAGCAAAGGCTCAAGCGATGGCAAGAAGGGAAAAGGAAAAGGAACGCCGAAGAAACACGCATCGGCCCTCGATGAGGCCGGTGAGGAAGAAGATGCCGAGTATGAAGCGGGTGATGAACCCGAAAATGAAGAGGTTGGCACTTTTGAGATCAAGGGTGTCGCTATGAATTCGGAACCACATGATTGTGGTGAGTGGACCAAATTCAACCTGGAGACAGGTGCCACACAAACGGCAATTCCGAAGTCTTGGAACGTTATTCAATGGACGCCAGGAAACATTGTAACATTCAAGACAGCATCAGGTGAATTGGTTCCCAGTGAAGGGACTGGATCCTATGTAGGGTCAGACGAAAATGGACTCCGATGCAAGATCACCGGACCAATAGCCAATGTGCACAAACCGCTGGTATCAGTTTACAAGTGTCTGAGCAAAGGCCGTCCGGCAGTTCTTGATGAACATGGAGGCGATGTTTTGCCTTTGAACTCAGCAGCGGCACAGGACATCCAAAGGATCTTGAAGAAGGCCGCAGCCAGCGGAAAGCGCAAATGGCTGAAGTTGTACCAAGAGAGAGGCATCTACAACTTCTACTTGCAAGGAGAGTCACCGGTGGATGAAAACCCCGCTCAGGGTTTTGGCCGGCAGCGGAAGGACGTGTAAGTCTGACCAGAGAATTAGGAGCGGCTGCAGGTGAAGCACCCGAGGCACCACCTAATCCTCCAGGCCGACCTGGGGATGAAGGTGAGGTTGGTGAGGAAGTTAAGCTGGAAGAGATGGCTCAACCCGTTCAAATAAGAGCACCTATTGATCCAACACCCGAAGAGGTGGAGGAACATGAGAGTACAGGCCATGTGCAGTATCGCACGTGGTGTCGGCACTGTGTTGCCGGAAGGGGTGCTGGACAGCAGCATCGGACTCGGGACGAAGAAGCCCGGAGTCAGGACGGGATACCAGTCATATCCTGTGACTACACGTTCATGATGGTGAACGGTGAGGATGATGGGAGAGCAAAACCCATCTTGGTAATGAAGGACAGCCGAACTAAGTCAGTGGCTGCTACCTTTGTGGATGCGAAGGGTCCAACACCGTATGCGGTGAAGTACTTCAGCAACTTCTTGAAAACCCTCGGGTATAAGAGAGTTTTGTTGCAGAGCGATGGGGGAACTATCGATAGTTGCACCTAAGGTGCAGGCCGCAACGGCGACTGGTGTGGAGGGAGTTCATCTCCAGTGGGAGACCACCAAGGCAATGGCCAAATTGAGCAGGTGTGCAAAGACATAAAGATGTCAGAGTTGGAAGCTCAGCTTTGGAAGAGAAGCTGGGACAGCCCTTGGGTGACACAGACTCCATGCTGGCCTGGATGCCATGGCATGTGGGGTACCTAGGAAGCCAAAAGTAGCGGATGAATGGTAGCACGAGGTTTGCCCACAGCACAGCGACTGTGGTGGCTTAGGCTTAGTTTGTATAGTTCCGGCGAGCCCAATGCATTCCTGCGCCACTCTGTTTTTGGGCTCAAGTGAAAAGGCGCTCCATAGCGCTCAGGTTTGTAAATAGCTTTGCGCAAATCTACCTGCAATTTCAGCCATTCTCAGCTTTGCAGGGCACGTCACATAGTGACCAAAGGCAAGGGCCTGAGCGCTGTCAGCCTTCCAGCATTCCCTTAAGTTCTATTGGTTGTTCATGAAAAGAAATGGAGAAACAAAAACGCAAGTCTTTTTTCTTGTTTTATTTTTTTTGTCCCGGAGTTTCTTAATTATATATATATATATATTTGTTTTTTTGGTTTGTGTGATAGTATGTTGCGAGGGCTGAAGGAGAATAATAGTATTCCTCAGGGTTTTCAGATCATACATATATGTATATGTCTGTATGCCATGCACATGCTCCCCCCGACTAATAAAAATGAGCAAAACATGACTATAAAGAAGGCATTCAAAATGTGTATACAAAAAAAATCACTGCGACATACCTGACACAATTAGAACACATTTTCTTTTGGGCACCATATGCACAGAGAGAGAGATATATATGTAACGTAATGTAATGTAATGTAAGGTAAGGTAATGTAAGGTAATGTATGTAATGTAGTGTACTGTAATGTACGTTACTGAACTGTCTTGGAATGTAATGTAATGCAATGCAATGTAATGCATGCATGTATGTATATATATATACACATACGTGTATGTATATATATATATGTATACATATGTAATTGTACATATATCATTATATACATCATTTCTGATACATGGAATGTAACATTTAACTCCCAAGAAGACGGGAAAGTAGATTCCTTTTCTATCTTACTTTGGGGGTTGCCCAAAATATGTCATCGCCAGGCTTCAACACTCCGGATTCGCCTCGCAGCATTGCTCCCAGCCTGGGCAGTAACAGCTCAGCAGGGGCCCGGCTACGACAGGCCTGACAAAACCCAGAAATTTCATGGTTGATCACCTTTTTCCCCATTGAAATATATGAGCATGGCCCGTCTCATGTGTCGTCCCCTATTCTTGGGCAAGAAGAAATGGATAAACAAGTTGGAAACCTGGAAATGATGAGGCATAGATTATATATTTAATTTATATAGATGTATATGCATATATGTATATATATATAGATGCATGCATGCCTACATACATACATACATACTTACTTACTTACTTCCTTACTTACTTTCTTCCTTCCTTCCTTACCTTACTTACCTGACTTACCTGACTTACCTGACTTACCTGACTTACCTGACTTACCTTTCTTACCTTACTTACCTTACTTACCTTACTTACCTTACTTACCTTGCTTACCTTGCTTACCTTGCTTACCTTGCTTACCTTGCTTACCTTGCTTACCTTGCTTACCTTGCTTACCTTGCTTATCTTGCTTACCTTGCTTACCTTGCTTACCTTGCTTACCTTGCTTACCTTGCTTACCTTGCTTACCTTGCTTACCTTGCTTACCTTGCTTACCTTGCTTACCTTGCTTACCTTGCTTACCTTGCTTACCTTTCTTGCTTACTTGCTTACCTTTCTTTTGCTTTCTTCTTTCTTTCTTTCTTCCTTTCTTTCTTACTTACTTACTTTCTTACTTTCTTACTGTCTTACTTTCTTACTTACTTACTTGCTTCCTTGCTTGCTTACTTACTTCCTTCCTTCCTTCCTTCCTTACTTACTTACCTTACTTACCTTACTTACCTTACTTACCTTACTTACCTTACTTACCTTACTGACCTTACTGACCTTACTGACCTTATTGACCTTACTGACCTTACTGACCTTACTTACCTTACTTACCTTACTTACCTTACTTACCTTACTTACCTTGCTTACCTTGCTTACCTTGCTTACCTTGCTTACCTTGCTTACCTTGGCTTACCTTGGATTACCTTGCTTACCTTGCTTACCTTGCTTACCTTGCTTACCTTGCTTACCTGCTTACTTGGCTTACCTTGCTTATTTTACCCTTACCTTGCTCTTCTTTCTTTCTCCTTCTTACTTACTTACTTTCTTACTTTCTTACTTTCTACTTACTTACTTGCTTCCTTGCTTGCTTACTTACTTCCTTCTTCCTTCCTTACTCCTTACTTACCTTACTTACCTTACTTACCTTACTTACCTTACTTACCTTACTGACCTTACTGACCTTACTGACCTTATTGACCTTACTGACCTTACTGACCTTACTTACCTTACTTACCTTACCCTTACCCTTACTTACCTTGCTTACCTTGCTTACCTTGCTTACCTTACTTACCTTGCTTACCTTGCTTACTTGCTTACCTTGCTTACCTTGCTTACTTGCTTACCTTGCTTACCTTGCTTACCTTGCTTACCTTGCTTACCTTGCTTACCTTGCTTACCTTGCTTACCCTGCTTACCTTGCTTACCTTGCTTACCTTGCTTACCTTGCTTACCTTGCTTACCTTGCTTACCTTGCTTACCTTGCTTACCTTGCTTACCTTGCTTACCTTGCTTGCTTACTTGCTTACTTACTTACTTACTTACGTACTTACTTACATACATACATACATACATATCCTGGGAAAACATATCCTTTGGGGGTTCTGTAGTTGCAGTTGGTTGCAGCAGATGTCAAGATTACCCTCTGGCAATTCTCCATGGTCAAGTGATAAGCCATCTCCAATAGTGAATAGGATACGACCAAAAAAGCAAGAGCATCAAGAACATATCCCCACAACACCTCAGAACTTTGTTAAACAAAACGGTAAGCTCAGGTAAAACAACAGCGGCTCTCTATGAAATTTTATTAAACACTATGAGATGGTGGGGAGATAAACACTATTAAGCACTATATGCTAAATCGCTATTAAACAGCCACAAACAATGGATGGGACGATGGATGGGACGACCTCCATGGGACCCCGGGTCCACCCTTCGTCACTGTGGCCAGAGCTTTCCACCGGATCGGCCATTGACGTGTGCGGCGGTGGATGAAGGGGAAAGCTACTTCGCACAGGCTGGGGTGATTCGGGTGATTTTCCATGAGATGTAAAACATGTAAAATATAGATGTGTATTTATAGACATAATGGTGTATATTAATATATATATATACACATATATTTATAGGTTGTATTGTATAAAGATACACTAAATTTTGTAACGCAACAAAATTCCACTATATCACCTTGTTAAAAGTCTTTATGTCAGATAATATCACATTACACTGTATTTTGGATTATCTTTGATCCCATTGTCATGTATATTTCATATTATATCATGTTATATCACATTATATCATGTGATCTCATATGATCTCATATTATCTTATTCATACCATTTCGTTTCATAGTATAGTATACTAGACTAGACTATACTAACCTATACTGCACTACACCGTACTACACTGTACTACACTGGGCTATACTGTGCTATACTATATGTTTTGCACGATGTTGTGCTATCTTATTTTGTATATATCATTTTTTAATGTTATTATATTGTGTTGTATTGTATTATATTGTCTTGTATTATATTACTTTATGTTATATTACATTTTAGGTATTGTATTATTTTGTATTATATTACATCAGTTTGTAGAGCATATCATTTTACACTATACTTTTGCAGTATACGCAATTATATCATGATATGTTTTGTTGTCTTACTGTTGGAGTTGCAATGTCATATGTACTGGTATTCTATTGTTTGTTGTTTTTTGTATACAACATTATGTATCATGCAAATATCCCAATGTACATTTAGGGTTAAATAATGCGACTATATATAGATAATCATTTAGGTAGATACACCTACTCTTCCATATAACTACGTACCTGGGTGTATACATACATACATACATACATACATTACACTACACTACATTAAATTACATTTACATTACATTTACATTACATTTACATTACATTTACATTACATTTACATTACATTTACATTACATTTACATTACATTTACATTACATTTACATTACATTTACATTACATTTACATTACATTTACATTACATTTACATTACATTTACATTAAGTTACATTACATTCCATTGCATTGCATTGCATTACGCACATATTTATCAGGAGAGTTCAGGCATCAAATATATCAAGCTCCGCTTTGGAGGTGAAAGATAGTTCGAGCAGGTTTGCTCCTTGCCATTCGAGCGGTTTGGGCATATCAGTCCCAGTTTCTGCAGGTTCTTTCCAACCTCTGCATCTTGGAAGTTTGCGACGAGGATGGACTGCTATTCTGAGGTCACCCCCATTTAAATGTCCAAAATTGGAAGACGCCGTCAACCATGCATTTCACCTGCAAGAAGAGGCGTTTTTGGGGGATTTTGCTTCCCAATTTTTGGCAGCGAACATGACATGGACGTTGTCTCTTTCTGCCAGACGACCAAGATCTGTGTCCATGAGTGACGTGTCATTTGGGTTTGTGGAATGCCAGGATCTTCTTGGTGGACTTGGTCAATTCGGCTTGGTTTGGATAATGCTTTGGGTTTTGCAATGTTTCATCTCCAGGTCCGAAATCCACGCTGCATTGTCCACCTTTCCCTGATAGCTGCGAAGATCGGCCTCGGAGTGTAGGGACTGGCACCGGGTTTCGGGCGGCCATGGCGGGGGCCATGTGGGCCATGAGGCCATGGGAGCCATGGGAGCCATGAGGCGGGGTCCAGTTGGCTCGGCTCTTGTTGATAATTTTCTGTGTTTCTGAGGGATTACCTGGTTGATCCTGGTTGCTTTGACTTGGATAGCATGGATCATGCAGCAGGATGCCATCGATGCCTATAGCTTGATCTGCAATGATCCGCAGCAATGTGTGTTCAAACTGGCAGTCTTGTCACAACGACAGTCAAGGCCTGCCATGGACACCACGTCTGCCTTGCTGCTCGGCGTAGATTCTATAGTTGTGGAACAGCTGATAGACTTAGTAGACCAATTGACTGCTTTCGGGTCGGCACTATGCCCCAAAAAAGATTGCAGCAATTAATGCTAAAGACAAATTCCCACCAGTGAGCACTTTGGAGAAACATTATATTTTGAGGCGTCAGCAGGGAGCGAAGCTTTAAAGGCGTGCCAGTCGTACTTAAAAGCGCATCACTAGCGAATTTTGAGGCTCATTCATCTATAGCGTAGCATCAAGTGCATTTGCAAGTCAGCGTGAACGTTGCCACCCCTCCCCCACTACCCACCCCAACGCCCACCTACCCTCCGGGTGCCATTTCACGTAGCAGGCGTGGGAGGAAAGTGACATTGTGCGGCCGTGCCAAGCACAAGTGCGTGTGCGTAGCAGCACGTTTCCGTACGACTGGGGCCTTTCACAGCAAGTAGCTTCCTACTGAATCCCTTACACATATATAGACATACAGAAACTTCTATCGGTATCTCAACATGTATGTGCAGATATGATCACACACATATATATGTAATTATATTATATATATATCATACATAATATATGTGTATATATATTCATTATATTTATATATGTGTATACAATGATAATAACAATTATAATAAAGATATTATTATATAATCTGTATATATAACAATAGTAATGATAGTAGAAATGCTGTATTAATAATAACACACATATATTTATATGATAATATATATGTAATAATATACATATATAATAGTTAATACTCTATATATATGATGATATACATATAAATAATACATATATAATTGTATATATATATATATGATAATGTATATATATAATTATATATATAATATCATATATAGAATAAGAGATATATCATAATATACATATATATATGTATATAATATGTACAGAAATATATACACACATATATATACACATATATATATATATATGCAATACTATCATGTATTTAATAAAATATCTATAACTAAATATATAATATAGAATATATAATATAGAATATATAATTTCATATATTACATATTACATATTATATATTTTTTTATATATTTATATAGTATATTACATATTGTATATTTTATGTATTATATTCTATATCATATATTATATATAATATGTAAAAATATATTTTAATGTTTGTATCTACATGTATCTAGGTGTAAATCAAATATAACCCACACATATATCTGTGTTTAGGCACGCAGCTGAGGCTGGACTTGGCGATTTGTGTGGCGTATGTGTCCATCCCGCTGCAGCTGGTTTTTGTAGCCACCAGGAAAGTAACAGCGATCGATTTCAGGACGTCGAGAAACGTCACGGCGTCAGAAAGCTTTGTGTTCGATATGGGTGTCCATAGTCATGGAATTACCCCAAAATCGATGGTTTATGAACTTTATATGAAGTTGATTTCATGGAAAATCCTAGTGCAAAATCGATGATGGCTTGGGGTACCACCATTTCAGGAAACCTGCATATCTTGAGAAAACTTGAAGAGGCTCAAAATTGAGGATTTGTCGTGTGCAATACCTCAGACTGCTCTTTTGCTGTGTCACTGACAGTGTTTGTTTGAAACCCGCAGGAAAATCACAGGAAACATGAGTTCGGATGAGCTTGCCATCAGCCGTACACTGATCATAGCCTTCGCATGCTTTATTTTGTGCTGCGGCTGCGGACACGGAATACGAGCAAGAAAGGCACCCTGCGCCAAAAAAGGCAGTTCACATAGGTCAATTGTGCCTTTCAACAGAGTTTGACCCCCTCAGCACCTTGGGTCAAAGCTTCTGACATGTTCTGAATAGAAAGGTTTATTTACTGTAAAATGTAAATTGCAGAACATCATTACTATTGGACAGAAAAGCGGATAGCATCGGATAGTTTTCTGTCATGTTTCCCTTTAATTGATCCTTTGAGGATTTTCCATTTCTTGAACTTTCCCGCAGTCTTCCAGCCCGAAGGCATTGTCGAACACTTCCGAAGACTTCTTGAGTAGGATGGAACACACGATCCACGTGGGGACCGCCTTGGTCAGTGTGCTTACCAGCCTCCTTCTAGGGATGTGGCTACCAAAGCCGCTTGGCGACGAAATCTGTGCAGCAGCTGCCGCCAGTGTTTTTTTTGAGTCTCTGCTGTGCCCTATGGATCCCTATGGAAGAGTCTCTGATCGTTGAGTCAGTGGCCTTTTCCATTTCGTGTTAAAATTCAAAGTCCGTATCTTGTGCCGGATGGCAAGATGCTGTATCGAGATGCATGCGGTAAGTGGATGTTCCTGAAGATGAAAGTACGAGTGAAGTTGCCAACCAGCCAGTGCCATCAACATCCATCAACCCTCTCCTATGAGGCTGCTGTCATTTTGCAATGACATCGAAATCCATCGCAAAGGATACATGAAGATTGTGATGGAGGTCTGAGATTGGGCGACAGCTTGGAATAGGCCTCTGAGACTGCCTCTAGATCCGCCAGGAATACGCCAAAGAGGACCAGATCGTCACCTCTGGTGACCTGGAGGAAATGAAGGGCTCGGAGAGAGATCCTTGGCGCAATGCTGATCTTGTGTCATTTGTGTCCTAGCACCGCAGCGCGACACCAACTAGCCGTAACTAGCCGTAACTAGCCGTAACTAGCCGTAACTAGCCACTAAGGAACTTCGAGGCAAAGTCGCTAGTTTAGAAGCGCTTCTGGGCATGCAACGGATCGCGAGGCTCTTCAAGTTGTCCGTGGCACATAGGATATTATAATATATATATTAATATATTATAGGAGTATTCGATAGTATATTAGTATATTCGATAGTTTTGGCATCATATCTTGAGTTGACACTGAGGCAGTTGAAGCGAACGGCACACGAGTTGTTGATCGCTCAAGCTCCTTGGCTCAACTTGGCTCCGTCGCTCGATCTACCCAGCATCCATTCTGGCACCCATTTTGGGCATGCCATTTTGTAGGGTATCTGGATATATTTGGTTTGTTTTTTGGTTTGGACATGCTTAGAATATTTATATTCCCATTTGTTGTGGTAACCCTACAAATGGACCCCCTCCCCAGTTTTGCTGTCTGCACCTCGGTGGTCAAAACGCCCTTGCTGGCATTAACTCCATATTTTAATGCGAAAAAATCTATGGAATTAACACAACACCACGCTACAACTGGTTGCAGAGTTGAAGCTGTTTCCCTCCCACAAGACGCTCTGAGTATCTCTGAGTTGTTTGAGTTGACTTTCCAGATGTCACTTGGACCTTTCTTCAGTGCGGATTGTTTTGTGGCTTTCCGACTCGCCCAAGGAAACCAATCGACAGGCCTGCAGAAGTCATGTTTCTGAAATGCAGATCTTAGATTTTTTTAGATACTGACAGGAAGATAGGCTCTGGGAGCGAATTCTGGCCAGCTCTTGAACTGAGACATTTCTATCATTTCGCCATTTTCGCCAGGACTTTTCAGTGGACGTCATTTCACTTGAAGAGACAGCTGGTGGTATTCTTCAGAAGAGCAAAGATCTGTCGCAGGACATTGTGACGGCATCACTGGTGCTATGATTTTTATGTTCAACATGGTCATTGAATGTGTATATCACATGTTCACATTAAAACATTTTAAACCGACTAATATTGGGATGATTTCACCCCAACGAAAAAAGACGACTTCGGATGATCCCAATATGTGTCGGCTCAATTTCTGTTGCGCCTTTGGACTCTGGAGGAGCTAAAGCCCCTGCCAAACCTGCTGGGAAAGTGCCAAGGATCAGTTCTTAGTGGAACACTTTGGAACAGATCAGTTTGTCTGAAAATCCATGATTTTCCCAAGATTTCCCTAGGTGAATTGCCATTTTTATCCGGGTTATTCCATCTTATTCCCAAATTTCCGACACACTCATATAATTTGATTGTGGAGATAGTGGACAGGTCTGTGAAACATGTTGGAATCGGATTATTCCCGAATGAATATGTTTGAAAAGTTGACTGCTGCTTCCGAGGTCACAGAAAAGTGTTGTCCACTTCGCAGATGAAGCAGATCATTGGGGCCATCTATGTGCTAAACAAGGTGCGCTGTCGCACCGCGTTGCACTCCTACCGAACGAATTTGACGTGACCACAGGCACGTCCAAGCTGGGCGGAAAACCCAGATGGCACCTGGGGAGATTTTCATATCCTGCTGCGAAGCCACTCTGCTGCAATGAATTCGTTTGCTGAATCGAGCCGTGGATTTGATTGTCTGCGACCTAATTTCAGGAATCGTCGGCCAGAAATCTGCGAAATATGCCACACTCCCATCTGAGAGTTGGTTGGACATTCAGCTGCACAAAGAATTATACCAAAAAGGCCTGTATTTTGCGAGAAAAGAGCCTTGGACAGCTGTCCTTTGCTTCCCAGGAGGTTTGTAACTGGTGCGCATCCCTTTCACATCAGCAACTGATTTCTCTCTTGCAACTGGGATGCAAGGAGTCTTATGACTTGTGCCGCTCCGCCATACCTTGCCAATTCGATTCGCATAGACATATGATATGCACTTGCACTGTATATAGTTTTGTGTATGTACATATATACATATAACATACATGTTTTTGCCTGCGGACGCGCTCGTAAAACGCACGTTTTTGAATATCGCTATTTTGGGGTGGGGTGGGGTGGGGGGGTGGGGGGGATGTTAACGTACCTTGTACTTCGTACATGATCCATTGCTACGCTGCTGAGATCTCTGGGATCGTTTACTACGTCACATGTTGCTACGCTGCTGATGGGGTGGGGTGGGGGGGGGGGGGATGTTCACGTACCTTGTACTTCGTACATGATAAATGCTACGCTGCTGAGATCTCTGATTGTTGCTATGTCAATTGTGCTACGCTTATAGACTCTGCGATTGTTGCTATGTTCAATATTGCTACGCTTGTAGAGAAGGAGAGAGAGAGAGAGGATATCTGGCGATGTTGTTACGTTACATGGCGCTAAGCTGTAGAGATCTGTGGATGTTGTTACGTTGACATGTTGGCTTCGTCCTCCTAGAGATTCTCTGGGATTGTTGCTATGTTAAATATTGCTACGCTGCTGAGATCTCTGGGATTGTTGTTACGTTACATGTTGCTACGCTTTAAAGATCTCTGCGATTGTTGCTATGTTAATATTGCTACGCTGTAGAGATCTCTGGGATTGTTGTTACGTTACATGTCGCTAAGCTGTAGAGATCTCTGGGATTGTTGTTACGTTACATGTTGCTACGCTGTAGAGATCTCTGGGATTGTTGTTACGTTACATGTTGCTACGCTGTAGAGATCTCTGGGATTGTTGCTATGTTAATGTTGCTACGCTGTAGAGATCTCTGTAGAGATGGGATTGTTGTTACGTTACATGTTGCTACGCTGTAGAGATCTCTGCGATTGTTGCTATGTTAATATTGCTACGCTGTAGAGATCTCTGGGATTGTTGTTACGTTACATGTCGCTAAGCTGTAGAGATCTCTGGGATTGTTGTTACGTTACATGTTGCTACGCTGTAGAGATCTCTGGGATTGTTGTTACGTTACATGTTGCTACGCTGTAGAGATCTCTGGGATTGTTGCTATGTTAATGTTGCTACGCTGTAGAGATCTCTGCGATTGTTGCTATGCTAATATTGCTATGCTGTAGAGATCTCTGGGATTGTTGTTACGTTACATGTCGCTAAGCTGTAGAGATCTCTGGGATTGTTGTTACGTTACATGTTGCTACGCTGTAGAGATCTCTGGGATTGTTGTTACGTTACATGTTGCTACGCTGTAGAGATCTCTGGGATTGTTGCTATGTTAATGTTGCTACGCTGTAGAGATCTCTGCGATTGTTGCTATGCTAATATTGCTACGCTGTAGAGATCTCTGTGATTGTTGTTACGTTACATGTTGCTACGCTGTAGAGATCCCTGGGATTGTTGTTACGTTACATGTTGCTTCGCTCTCTGGGATTGTTGTTACGATCTCGACGCTGAAACGCCTGGTCTGAAAAAGGAATGAAAAAGGGTCTTGCACATTTTGCCAAACACCCACACGAAACGCAAATTTGGCCAAAATTTCGCGCGAAGATTTGGCCGTATCAAAGTGTGTATTTCGCTGTAGCGAAAACGATATATTATTTGAAAACATGCGTTTTGCGAGCGCGGTTTCCGGTCCGCCGGGATGTTTTTGTCATGTATATGATATCTTCGTACTATCATTCCCAGTTTCAGAGAGACAGACAGAGAGAGACTGAGAGATAGACAGAGCGAGAGAGCCAGACAGGTCAACCACCAACGGTTACCAACATGACCACTGCAGACTCCAGGCAATCGGTGCTGAATTTTGCAAACTCGCCCAAACCCGAGAAAGTTGCGACTTGGAGAAAGCAGTTGGGGTCAGAAGTTGATATCCTGCACTATCTACATCAAAGAAGAATCTCCAAGAAAGAACAGGGATGTAATCTATATAATTACTGATCTACTGATGTAATCTATATAATTACTGTTCTCCTTCCCCTTCCGAAACAAGACGAGTCGCACCAAAAGCATCGTATTTTCACGCATTTTCACGACGCAGTACAACCGCCCAGCCCTGACCAGCAAATCACCGGCTGCAGGTTGAAATTGCAGACCAACTCAAACTGATCAATGCAGCAGCATAGCAGCTGCGAATTCGGAGCCCAGCGCTGGTATTGTGAAGCGCTGGTATTCCATGCTACTTCGATCTTCTTGGTGGACCATATGTTATTGAGGCTGTCCAGAATTGATCTGGCTAGGTAGTTCATGCATCTGATGACATGGGATATTACATGTATGTATATGTATATATATATATGTGTGTAGAGATGTAAATATGTATATGTATAATTATATGTAAACATGTAAATGGGAAGCAAAGCTGGGCGACAAGGTGGGAGACAAGCTGGGAGACAAGTGGAAGCACAGTGAGAAACCCAGTGGGAGACAAGCTTCCAAGGTCCCAGCTTCCAGCTGTGTCTCCCACTTCGTCTCCCAGCTTGTCCCGCACTGTCTCGATCTGTCCACCGTCCCCCACTTTGACTCCCACCTTGTTTCAATTGTGTCTCACACCTTATCTTCCGGAACCTTGGAACCTTGGAATCTCCCACCTTGTTTTCACTGTGTCTTCTGCCTTGTTTGCAACTTTGTCCTCCACCCAGCGCCCCACTTCCCAACAGCAGAACGATGTTGGGCTTCTCGCCTTCTCTCCTGCTGTGTTTCCCACTGTGTCTCCCGCCTGCAACCTTGAGCCTTGTCTGCAACGTTTTTTCACACCTTGCTCTCTGGAAGCGGGGCGGTATCTCGACCTCTCCCCCCTCCCGCATGCATGTGGACGGCTGTGGCAGAGTCCCAGGGTCTTCCAGTTGTCGGCTGCTTGTCTTGCACTTGTGTAACAGTTGTCTCCCGGATGTTTCCCAATTGTTTCCAAATTGTGTTCCTTAGCCTTTAATTTGAATCCGTCATTGCGTTTGGGCTGGGCAGCTGAGTTAAAGTATATGTATATATGTATATATGTATATATGTATATATGTATATATGTATATATGTATATATGTATATATGTATATATGTATATATGTATATATGTATATATGTACATGTATGTGTGTATATGTGTACACACATATATATATATGTATATATGTATATATATGTATATATGTATATATGTATATATATATATGTATATATGTATATATGTATATGTGTAAATAAGTATATATGTAAACATGTAAATATGTATATATGTATACATGTATGCATGAATCAACATATTTGTCTATATGTGTATTTGTGTACATGTATATGTGTATATGTGTACATGTATATGTGTATATGTGTACATGTATGTGTGTATATGTGTACACACATATATATATATATGTAGATGTGTATATGTATATTTGTGTTTGTGTATATGTAAATATGTATCTATGTAAAGACGTATATATGTATTTGTGTTTTTTGTATTTGTGTATATGTGTTGATGTGTACTTGTGTAAATGGGTAATGGTGTATGTGTGTATGTGTAAATATTTCTAGGTGTCTGCATGTATATCTAATACATACACATGTATTCATGAACATAGATAATACAGTGTAGGGTTTTCCGTGAGTTGTATTTATGTATATGTAAATAGCCACTATGTATGTATGTGGTGTAATGTCATATATTTGATGTAATGTAGTGAATGTGATGTATGTAATGCATGTGATGTGTGTAGTGTATGCAATCTATGTAATCTATGTACGATATGTTGTGTATGCATGCATTCATGCATGCTATTTTATGTTTCGTTCAGTTTTGTTTTACTATGGTATGGCTGGTATGGTTGGCATATAGGTCATGTCATGTCATGTCATGTCATGAAATGTCATGTCATGAATTGTCATGTTGTAATGTATGCATGACATTGGTGTATGTAGTGCATGTAGTGTTCGCAATGAAATTCTGAAACGTATTGTATGTATTGTATGTTTGTATGTATTGTATGTATTGTATGTATTGTACGCATTGTATGTATGTATTGTATGCATGCAATGTATGCATCCATGCTCCTATGTATGTATATATGTATGTACGCATGAAGGAAATTTAATGTAATGTAATGTAATGCAATACAATGGAAGGAAAGGGAATGGAATGGAATGTAATGTGCGTATTGTATGTGCTGCATGTATTGTTTGTATTGTTTGTATTGTATACATTGTATGTATTGTATGCATTGTATGTATTTGCTTTGTCCAATATTGTATTGTAACGTTCTGTCTCCTATTGTAATGTAACGTAATGTTTCGTTGTGTAATGAAAGGTGGTGAATTGTAATTAATGTATTATAATGGAATATCATGCACCGCAATACAATGTTGTGTAATGCAATATAATGTAATGTTTGTGTATATCATATCAAAGATCACACAGACATCATGTATATATATATACATATATACATATATGTATATACATATATATATATATACATATATATATATATATATGCTGTTTCATGGATCTAGGGCCCAGGTCATTACCCCAAGATTTTTTCAAGCCTATCCACCTGGCCGGCTTGATGGCATTTCGTTCGCCTGGATCGAAGTGGCATGAGTGGTTGCGTTGTGTCAGTCGGGTGGCCGAGTTATCAATCTGTAGACTGTTGAATAAAATCAAGACCCGACCTGACTCTGCGCCCATTGTTTTTTTTCCGTTCACGTCCACAAGGAATGCCATCAAGAGGCGAGACCCAACCACAGTTGTTTGTCTCATTGCCTCTTGATCGTGGCTGACCTTGAGCTTAAAACCATGATGGTTTTGAAAATCCGACGTCAGCGTCCAACGCCCTGACGTCCCTATTTCTTCACCTCCTGCTTCGCAGCATTGTTTTGTGTGAAAATAGGGTTCCCCAAAATCAAAAAAGGGATTCTCATCATGTCCCATATTTTCCTAAAGTATATCTATCAAATTTCCATGGGTGTTCGAACTGGTGTTTTCTCCCCGGAGCCTTAATAACAGTGGACCATTCCAAGCAGCATCTGAGCCATGAAAGTGATTGGGATAGATAGTGTCGATTGACATAGATAGATAGATAGATAGATAGATGGATACATGGATAGATGGATAGATGGATAGATGGATAGATGGATAGATGGATAGATGGATAGATGGATAGATGGATAGATGGATAGATAGATGGATAGATGGATAGATGGATAGATAGAAAGATAGAAGAAAGATAGAAAGATAAAAGATGTAGATGTAGATATAGACATAGATATAGATATAGACATAGATAGATAGACATAGATAGATAGATATAGATAGATACAGATAGATATAGATAGATATAGATAGATATAGATAGATATAGATAGATATAGGTAGATAGATATAGATATATATATATAGATAGATAGATAGATAGATAGATAGATAGATAGATATAGATAGATATAGGTAGATAGATATAGATAAATATAGATAGATGTAGATATAGATAGATATAGATAGATACAGATACATATAGATATAGATATAGATAGATAGATATATACATATATAGAAATACAGTTGGACACATAGATTGTATATATATACACGTATGGAATATTGATTTACACAAAACCCGTATATATGTATATATATTTAATATATTACAATATAGATGTACACTACAATATATATATATATACTTAATATCTGATACTGATAGCTGAATATAGTTGATATATGTATTATAGTGTATTTCAACATACTTACCAGTCAGAGACAGTTGTTTGGGTATACAGTGATACACATTGCAGTTGGCAAGCACAATAGTTGGTCACTTTCATTTTTCATCTTAGAACTAATGGTTTCGTAATGTCTTATATTTGGGGTTGAATGGTGAATTATAGTAATTAGTTTGTTGGGGATGATGATAAAGTAGTTCAAACCATAATTGAGGGAAAACACATTATCCAACCAGTATACTGGGATGCGATGGGCGGTATTGTTCATGGCTTGTCATCTGGAAAAATGGGCTGAACAAAATTATCAAATGCCAAGGGGCATTTGGCACAGCTTACCTCACTGAGTTCTTCTATTCTTCTACTATCTTATTGGACTAAAGACCCGGACAAGTAACATGTTTGGACTGTTTCCTTTTCCAATTACCAGCTGAAAAATGGTTTGATTTGTAGTGATGAACATGCTGTGCCCATGCCTCTGCTTGTTGATGGTGGTTTCGTTGTGACTGAAACGACAAGTCCAGCTCACAAGCATGTAGCATTGATAGAAGTCGTTTTACGGCCGTGCGCTTTAAAACACATCTTCAAAATCGCAGCTCTGCAAGTTGAAACAGCATTTCGAAATATATGTGGACTATCTAATTATCTATGATTATTTAATCCCATCATCTCAAGATCTGAGATGTTTTAACTTGCTCGATTCTGGAGGACTGATGGTGTCACGGGGGTTACAGAAAGGCCTTTCCGTGAGCCGTTGGTTGAAAAAAATGTTCGAATTCATGCATGTTTCAAGTCTCAAGACGGTTCAAGAGGTTCGAGCTTCTTGGCCGCTTCCCGCCATTTCCCAACTCATCGAAAGGATGACAGTTCCGGGACGACATCGGAGCGGGTGACATGGCAGAAAGAAACCCAGCCAGGCTGTTTGAAACATGAAACCAGAAATGCTGGAAATTCCAGACTGCTGCAGCAGATAAGAGCCCATGTCAAAAGTTTCTGAAGGCGTTAAGGCGAAGGCCTTGAGATTGATTGGATGTTCGCCACGTTTCAACCACTTTCCTCCTTTTACCTCCGTCCAGACCGGGTCTGAAGCCGCGATCTTTATGTTTCCTGATGGAGTTCGGACGTAATCTTCGCGGCTGGATGGACGGTCCCAGAATGGTTCGCGACTTTTATGGAGACAAAAAATCTGCTGTCAAGAAACTGCAAAATGCATGAACATGTGACTGATTTCACATCTTGCAACTAGCTGTTTCAAATTGGGGCTTGAAGTTCCATGACTGATCTCACAGATACACAGCATATAGATGCATATATAGATATTCCACAGATAGGCAGAACATGTCAATGCTCCAACTCTGAAGCTGATCAGGCACTGCCCGCTAGCAGCGCCCATGGAGAAGCTCTGCCAGCGAAAAAAAGACACATCTGGGTGGAACACTGACATGA